AGTAAAGTATTTAATATTCCTTGCTGCATATTAGGCTTTGCACCATACTGTTTAAAAATTAATTTAAATAATTTAAATAAATTTTTAGCCTATCATAGTCTTATATTTTTATTTTCGGAAAAGTTTCTTTAAATAATTTATAATTTTCAGTTATAAATAGTGCTCGCCACCCGACCGGACGTTCCCAAATCCAGGTTTTTTTCCGGACTGGATTAATCCATAAAAATCCGGCTGGATCCGGTCTGGCATGGGCGAACAAACCAAAATCCGGGGGCACTAGTTATGAATTATAAATTTAAAAACATACCTGATATTCTTCCATATTTATTAAATTATTATTATCATTATTTTCCATAATTTCATTTATTTTATTTTCTTCTTTATTTTTATTTATTTTTGTATTTATTAATTCATCTTTTTCATTATTATTAAAATTTAATAAAGGAATTTTTGGAATAAATGGTTTAGTTTTTGGAATTCCTTTAATTGAAGAATTTAATTCTTTTAAGGTATTATTTTTATTTTCAATTTGTTTTTCTTCTTCTTCTTTATCTTCTTCACCTGATCCTTCAATTTGTTCTTCTTCATGTTCTTTTTCCTTTATAAAATTTAATTCTTTAAAATTAAAAATTATTGTTAGTTTTGGTTAATTATTTTAAATTATCTTCTGATATACCGTATTCCTTTAATTTCTTCAACCCCCTCGAATAATTTCCCCTTTACCGGTAGGTTGAAAAATAATTATAAAGAACTGTAATTACTCAAGACAATAATAATTCTATTAATTTACCCAATTAACATTTAAATATAAAATCTACTTTAGGAGAAATTAATTAAAAGCTTAAATTAAATTATGGTTACCAAGTAATATTAAAAAAGTTTGATAACTTTTAAATTAATTAAATTTACATGAGTTTGTGTATTCAATGTTTCATTATTTCTTAATTTTAACATTTTCTCTTTTTCTAATAAATAAGGAATTCTTTGCATTGAACGAAAACGTCCATTTAAAAAATTGTCCAAACTATTTTTTAAAATTTGTATAAAATATTTAAATAATTACTTCACAAAAAACCTTAATATTCCATAATCAACAAATTTATTTTTCATTATAGGCCTTGTATAACTAAATGGGGTAGTTGTTTGGACTAAATGATCAGCTACTGGGCCTAAAATTGAACGAAGATCCATTCCAGTCATTTCTTTAAAAACTTTTTCTGGAGAAGCTTCCAATGAAAAATAATTTAATAAAGGCTGAAAATTTAAATAATTAGTTAAGATTAAAAAAATTAATTTGTGTTATTTTAGGAATTTAATTCAAATTAATAAGATTCAAAAAATAGCCAGGGATTATAGCCAGGGATTTAGCCTTCTTTCAATAGCTATAGCTCCTACAAATACAATTGACTCTTTCACATCGGGCAACCCTTCTCAAAAATGCTAAATAATGGGTATTAGAAACAGAGTTCGTGTTGGGATTAATCCTATTTCAAAGGTGGGAGGAAACATCATCAACGTTCTAAGGGTACTGATAGGTATATGGACCCACGATAACCAGATTTTGTTGCGGATGTGGAGTTTGTTTTCCTTCCCTAAAATTGTTCAAGCCAATCTATCAAACATTAAAATTACTAGGATTCGGGAAAAGAATTGGAGGATTGTGGAGTTTCGTCTTCCTTCTCCAATACTCTGTTCTTTATAAATATTACCAACCTTTCTAAATAATAAATTATTTCCCAATAAATTATTATTATTATTAAATTGTAAATTATTATTTTGATTTTTCTTAATTTCTCTTCTCCAATTAGCCATTTCTGTTCCATAATTTTGTTGTGCAAAACGAGAAGGTTTTTCATCAAGAATATATCGTCTATAAGGACGTATTTTAGTATTTGAAATAATATTTTGTGGAGGTTCATCCAAAATAAAAGAAGGGTTTAAATTATAATTATTTTCTTTAGAAATTTCTTGTCCATTTATTAATAAAAATAAATAAATAAAAATAAAAAATATTTTTTTCATTTTATTTAAAGAATTTAGAGAAATATTTATTTATGTAAAAATAAATAAACTTTATATTAAAAATGTAGGTGAACGTTTAAAGTTATATTATTTAGGAAGGTCATTATCGGAGATATTAATAATAATGAACTGAAAACAAAAATTTTAATACAAACTTTAATGGATAATGATTAATTATTTTTTAATTAGATACATACTAAATATGTAGAGCCCGCCATTTTAGGTCTGAAATGTTGAAGAATAGGTTCCTTTTCTAGAATTCCTTATAAGTTAAGACTTGGAAGTTGGAAAAAAAAAGCTGACAGTAATTAATAAAATTTTAATTAAACAGTTAGAATTTTATGAAAAAAATTTTAAACAGATAAATAACCAAACTTAAATGAGATACCTTCAATTTCATAAAAATATTCTAAAAGTTTTGAAAAGAATGCATATAAACAAGAATTTTCCTGACGCCAAAACAGTCGGCGCCAAAATGTTCAAATAAAGCCTAAACCTTTGAAAGCCTAAACCTTTTGGATTGAAGACGGTTTTTCGGCGCCGCCATTTTTTGACGCAGAGTATTTTCTTGACCAAAACTGTTCTAAATTTTAGATTTTCTTAAGAAAAGAATTTAGATATGTGTGTGCTTTCATTAATTTATGAAATTTTACTAAAAGTATTTGAAACAAAAGTTTTTGGTAAATAAAATGATTGGCGCCAAATCGGCAGCGCGCCTAGTTGTCCACAACCGTCTCCCATACAAAACTTGGAGCATTTTTAGGCGTAAAAACTTGAAACCAAAAGGTATAGGTTTTATGGGGGAAAACGATTTTGCCATTTCGGCGCCGACTATTTGGCGTTATTTCTTTTTCGAATACAAGTATTGTACATATTTTCTGATTATCCATCTATTCATTTACATCTCTCTTTTTTTAATGTTGATGATCACATTTAAATGCATTAAGCCTTTATCTTTTCTGGCCATCTCTTTTACAATATTTTTATATTATATAGTTTTGCTTTTATGTGTATTTGTTACAATAAAAAAGTAAATTTAATTTTAAAAAACCATTGATTTCTTTAGAAAATTAAATTTATTAAATTATACATATGTAAATTAAAAACAAACAAAAGTTGTTGAAAATAACAGAGAAATATCCTGATAAAAATTTATCATCAGAATAGGGTTGTCGGTTTGAAACCGAACCGACCCGAAACGAAAAACCGAAGATTTGCGTTTCGGTTTGTCAGTTCGGTTAAACGAAGAATTTGTTGAAACCGACAACCCTACATCAGAAAATATGTACAATACTTGTATTCGAAAAAGAAATAACGCCAAATAGTCGGCGCCGAAATGGCAAAATCGTTTTCCCCCATAAAACCTATACCTTTTGGTTTCAAGTTTTTACGCCTAAAAATGCTCCAAGTTTTGTATGGGAGACGGTTGTGGACAACTAGGCGCGCTGCCGATTTGGCGCCAATCATTTTATTTACCAAAAACTTTTGTTTCAAATACTTTTAGTAAAATTTCATAAATTAATGAAAGCACACACATATCTAAATTCTTTTCTTAAGAAAATCTAAAATTTAGAACAGTTTTGGTCAAGAAAATACTCTGCGTCAAAAAATGGCGGCGCCGAAAAACCGTCTTCAATCCAAAAGGTTTAGGCTTTCAAAGGTTTAGGCTTTATTTGAACATTTTGGCGCCGACTGTTTTGGCGTCAGGAAAATTCTTGTTTATATGCATTCTTTTCAAAACTTTTAGAATATTTTTATGAAATTGAAGGTATCTCATTTAAGTTTGGTTATTTATCTGTTTAAAATTTTTTTCATAAAATTCTAACTGTTTAATTAAAATTTTATTAATTACTGTCAGCTTTTTTTTTCCAACTTCCAAGTCTTAACTTATAAGGAATTCTAGAAAAGGAACCTATTCTTCAACATTTCAGACCTAAAATGGCGGGCTCTACATATTTAGTATGTATCTAATTAAAAAATAATTAATCATTATCCATTAAAGTTTGTATTAAAATTTTTGTTTTCAGTTCATTATTATTAATATCTCCGATAATGACCTTCCTAAATAATATAACTTTAAACGTTCACCTACATTTTTAATATAAAGTTTATTTATTTTTACATAAATAAATATTTCTCTAAATTCTTTAAATAAAATGAAAAAAATATTTTTTATTTTTATTTATTTATTTTTATTAATAAATGGACAAGAAATTTCTAAAGAAAATAATTATAATTTAAACCCTTCTTTTATTTTGGATGAACCTCCACAAAATATTATTTCAAATACTAAAATACGTCCTTATAGACGATATATTCTTGATGAAAAACCTTCTCGTTTTGCACAACAAAATTATGGAACAGAAATGGCTAATTGGAGAAGAGAAATTAAGAAAAATCAAAATAATAATTTACAATTTAATAATAATAATAATTTATTGGGAAATAATTTATTATTTAGAAAGGTTGGTAATATTTATAAAGAACAGAGTATTGGAGAAGGAAGACGAAACTCCACAATCCTCCAATTCTTTTCCCGAATCCTAGTAATTTTAATGTTTGATAGATTGGCCTGAACAATTTTAGGGAAGGAAAACAAACTCCACATCCGCAACAAAATCTGGTTATCGTGGGTCCATATACCTATCAGTACCCTTAGAACGTTGATGATGTTTCCTCCCACCTTTGAAATAGGATTAATCCCAACACGAACTCTGTTTCTAATACCCATTATTTAGCATTTTTGAGAAGGGTTGCCCGATGTGAAAGAGTCAATTGTATTTGTAGGAGCTATAGCTATTGAAAGAAGGCTAAATCCCTGGCTATAATCCCTGGCTATTTTTTGAATCTTATTAATTTGAATTAAATTCCTAAAATAACACAAATTAATTTTTTTAATCTTAACTAATTATTTAAATTTTCAGCCTTTATTAAATTATTTTTCATTGGAAGCTTCTCCAGAAAAAGTTTTTAAAGAAATGACTGGAATGGATCTTCGTTCAATTTTAGGCCCAGTAGCTGATCATTTAGTCCAAACAACTACCCCATTTAGTTATACAAGGCCTATAATGAAAAATAAATTTGTTGATTATGGAATATTAAGGTTTTTTGTGAAGTAATTATTTAAATATTTTATACAAATTTTAAAAAATAGTTTGGACAATTTTTTAAATGGACGTTTTCGTTCAATGCAAAGAATTCCTTATTTATTAGAAAAAGAGAAAATGTTAAAATTAAGAAATAATGAAACATTGAATACACAAACTCATGTAAATTTAATTAATTTAAAAGTTATCAAACTTTTTTAATATTACTTGGTAACCATAATTTAATTTAAGCTTTTAATTAATTTCTCCTAAAGTAGATTTTATATTTAAATGTTAATTGGGTAAATTAATAGAATTATTATTGTCTTGAGTAATTACAGTTCTTTATAATTATTTTTCAACCTACCGGTAAAGGGGAAATTATTCGAGGGGGTTGAAGAAATTAAAGGAATACGGTATATCAGAAGATAATTTAAAATAATTAACCAAAACTAACAATAATTTTTAATTTTAAAGAATTAAATTTTATAAAGGAAAAAGAACATGAAGAAGAACAAATTGAAGGATCAGGTGAAGAAGATAAAGAAGAAGAAGAAAAACAAATTGAAAATAAAAATAATACCTTAAAAGAATTAAATTCTTCAATTAAAGGAATTCCAAAAACTAAACCATTTATTCCAAAAATTCCTTTATTAAATTTTAATAATAATGAAAAAGATGAATTAATAAATACAAAAATAAATAAAAATAAAGAAGAAAATAAAATAAATGAAATTATGGAAAATAATGATAATAATAATTTAATAAATATGGAAGAATATCAGGTATGTTTTTAAATTTATAATTCATAACTAGTGCCCCCGGATTTTGGTTTGTTCGCCCATGCCAGACCGGATCCAGCCGGATTTTTATGGATTAATCCAGTCCGGAAAAAAACCTGGATTTGGGAACGTCCGGTCGGGTGGCGAGCACTATTTATAACTGAAAATTATAAATTATTTAAAGAAACTTTTCCGAAAATAAAAATATAAGACTATGATAGGCTAAAAATTTATTTAAATTATTTAAATTAATTTTTAAACAGTATGGTGCAAAGCCTAATATGCAGCAAGGAATATTAAATACTTTACTTGACTTTTTTGGAGTTAAATATTTACAAGGAAGTGAATTAGACAAAGTTTTGACTGACTGGATAATGGAAAATACACCTAAATATATTAGCAAAGTTAGAAAAATAAAAATTAATTTTAAGAAATTATTTAAAATTTAGAGTGATAAAAGAGCAGGAATTAATACAAGTAGTTATGATGTATTGAGAGGTTTACTTAGTCAACCTGTTTTACCTCTTTGTAGTTCACCTCCTCAATTAATTGAACATTTTAATTTAGATGCATTTATGGGACAATGGTTTGAAGTAAATTAATTAATTTTTAACTAAATTAATTAAGGATTCTTAAAAATTTAAATTTATTAACGCCAAATCCAAAACATTCTGTCTAGAACATTTTCCCTATAAAACCTAAACTTTTGGATTCAGGTAGCAAGTTTTGTAATAGACGCTGTTTTGGACAACCAGGCGCCGCCGAGTTGGTGTCTGTCATTTTCTTCATACTTTTGTTTTACACTATTAAAATCTCTTAAATTAACTTAAAGTATTAATTTAATTATTTTTATTAATTTTTTATTTCATCGTGAACAATCCAAAAGATCTAGGTTTTATTTAAACATTTTGGACAGCCTAACTTGCGCCGATCGTATTCTTGTTACCTCTGTCAAAATTTTTTAAAAGTTTTTAAAGCAGCTTTTTAGCTTACAATAGAATTATTCAGCAACAATATTTAATTTTTTCCAGGTTATGCTGAACACAATATTTGTTCTTATAAACATTTAGATGATGAAAAGAATTGTTTGGTAATTATTAATTTATCTTTAAACTTAATTTAAATTTTTTTTAATTTTTAAAGGTATTTTCTGTTTCAAAAAATTCAGATCTTAAATTTGAAGCAAAAATTTCAAAATTATTAAAAAAATGTAAAATTCGTGTATATGACCATGTATGTTAATTTAAAATAAAATTAGATTGTTTTGAATAATAAAAATTAGAATTAATTAATTAAGTCTGAGTTAATTTTTATAGAAATAAATAGAAAAGGAATTAAGAATGTCTTTGAAATAGGGTAGCACCCCGAGACCCCGAGCCTTCGGGGACGGGAGTGTCAGGTTCCGGGGTTTGCCGGGGTAGAGCCTTCGGGGTTCGGGTCGGGGTTTCGGGGGATGGGTGCTACTCTCCTTTGAAATTAAGAATGTCTTGAATTTAAACTGAATCTTGTTTAAATTGGCTAATTTTAATTTGGCTATTCTAAAGATAAAATTAAAATAAATTTACGAATGTTTTAAAAATTATTTTAATTTAAAAACAATTTAGGGAGGAAAAGGAGGCAGTGATTTAGAAGTAAATTATAAAGTAATTAAAAAATTGAGTGGAAATAAATTTGATGAAAAATGGTTATCAAAAATATTAACGTCAGAAAAAAGAAAAAGTAAAATTAATTTGTTGAGACTTGAAGTTGGAGGTTTTTTAAAAAAATATTTTTAAATAAAAAATATTTTTTAGATCAAACAGATAAAATTGTTCAAAGTAAAATATTAAGAGAACATTCGGTAAAAATTTTTTTTTTAATTAATGAAAATATTTCTTTTCAAAGATTTGTCATTTATTATTAACTGTTAGTGGACTTTCAAAAAAGAAACTTGAGACTTTTGTAAAGAAAATGCAAAAATCTTATGGGTACAGTCTTTATGCTGCATATAGAATGGGGGATCAACCGGTAAATTTTTTAAATTTTGTTTAAAATTTATTCACAACCTTTGGATATAAAAAATGATTTTTTAAATAACAAATCAAATAACTTTTGGGAATTTATTTAGGAAAAGTAACGCTAAATATTTGGGAGTATATAATTAATATAACAGTTTTGGGATATCCCAAAGCTGTCAAATAAGGAAGCAAGATAAATTAGAGTTGACAAGGTTAAATAAAAAGTTGTTCACTTGGTTAAGAAAGTTCCCTAGTCTACATATGTATGTATGTATACACAAAATTTTGAATAAACCTCAATTTTACTTTTTCCATCACCAAGAGTTTATGTAAAATTTGAGATCCTAAAGTATTTTAATTATTAATTAATATTTTCAAGACAAGTATTAATTATGAAGAAAGTGCAACAAAAGATTCATTAGATGCATTAGATGAAGATGCAGTTAATTTATTAGAAACTCCAAAAGAAAAGAAAGCTAGTTTAAAAACTAAAAGAGAAGCATTAGTAAAAGATAGAAGATCTGCAGGTGTTTATACAATGAGTTTTATTTCTAAAAATTGTCAAAAAGAATATGGAGTTAAGTGGATTGATCAATAGATTATTTATTTAATTTAATTAATTTTTAAATAAAGTTAAATATAATTTGTAGCAGTTCCACCGGGGTAATTTTCTCAACAGTTATAACTAGAGTCTGTAATTTTAACTCTTATTTTAGGACTTTAAGGCCTAAATTAGGGCAAAATGATCTGAAAAAACTCTAGTTATAAGTCAATAAAAGTTATGTATCTAGATTTTTTAAATATGTATTTTGATAAATTTCAAAAATATCTACATACATATAATGGTTATACTTTCGCTCATTAACCTGTGGTTAATAAATAGTAAATCTAACGTTGGAAATATAAATTTAGAAAAAAATAAAAATGTCAAAAAAATTTCTAAAAGGCATACATCATTTTTTACAATACTCTTTAAACATTTTTCTAGAAATTTCAATATCCAGGTGCCAATCTTGGTGTAGGACAATGGTCACAAGACCCACCGGCCCCCAACGAACCAGGGCTACCTGTGGGTCCGGTTGGACCGTTAGGTCCTGGTGGTCCTAAATAATATATTTAGTGATTTTTATTTTTCATTTTAAGTTACCTTTCTGTCCAGGTTCTCCAGGTGGTCCACTAGGACCGTTTTCGCCATCTTTACCAGGCTTGAAGGAAATTAAGTTTTAAAACAGATTAGCTGAGTAAATATAAAATACCTGTCCTGGCTTTCCAGGTGATCCGGGAGGTCCCTTTTAAAGAATTTTAAATCTAATAAAATTTCAAAATCAAAAAATATTACAGGCCGTCCTGGCTGTCCAGGAGGTCCAGGTGGTGGTTTCTCCCCAGGTATTGAAATGCCTGGTTCTCCAGGGGGTCCACGCTGACCTAAAAATTTGGATAAATTTAAATAAATTAATTTTTCTACAACCAGTAGGTCCAGGCTGTCCCGGAGGGCCAGGCGGACCTGGAGGCCCTTGAATTCCTGGATGTCCATCTTCTCCATCTAAAAATTTAAAAAATATGCACATCTACTTAAATATTTAATATACTTTTTCCTGGCAATCCTGGCTGGCCATCATTTCCAGGCGGCCCTCAAAATTTAATTTTAAAAATATTTTCCAATTTTTTCGATTACCCGAGGGACCCATTGGTCCAGGCGGAGCTTGACACGGACATTGTGGTGGAACAGGCAATACACGATCGTGTAGTTCAGCATCTTTCCCAGGCGGTCCTGCTGGTCCAGGCCCTTCACCTGGTGCCCCGTCCTTTCCTGGCTCTCCTGGTGGACCTTAAAATTTTTTAAACAAGACATTTACTTGAATTGTTTAAGAATTAAAAAAATTTACCGTCTGGCCCTGGTGGTCCTTGTTGACAAGTACAGCATAATGAATCGTCTACGGCCTCTCTTCGCCTTCTTTCATTCAATCCAAAAAATTCCAAAGGCAAAAAATCTTTTTCATTGTTTTGTAATGTTCCCTCTTCTAAATCTATTGTAGCTAATTCGACTTCAACCTAATGAAGTAAATTAAATACTATAATCATAAAAATTAATTTTGTAGGGAAATTATAAATTACTCTCTTTTTTCTAAACTACGTAGTTAGTTAACTTGCATAAATTAGCTCCCGTACGAGTATGAGCAAAGCCCCCCCCCCCCCAATTCAGCCCAACAATTACAAACTTGTTTTTGTTTAATATTTCTGTTTACAAATAAATTTTTTCTTTAATTTTTTCAATTAAAAAGATAGGTAATTTTAAAAAATAATTTTCAACCATTTGTTGCCACATATCCTTTTCCCTAATTTTACAATAATCAACTTCTCCTTGCACAGAAGCTTGTAATTTTTGTATATAATGAAATACTAAAGGAAAAGAGAGAAGACAAGCTGTTACAGAAAATGTTGAAAATACAACAGAAATAAATGCAGCATTTCGAAGTTTTCTTTTTTTATTATTTTTAAATTTATTTTTTTCGGTTGGAGAAGAAAATGAAGAAGTTGGATAAAATAGAGAAGACATTTTTATTTAAAAATAAAAATTAATTAATAATTATTAGAATTGGATAATAATTTTAAAAAAAAGTCTCAAATTTATGGACTTGCGGGGACGAGTACAATCCTTGGATTTTTAACAAAAAAATTTAATGATAATTCTATATTGTACAATTAATTTAATTTATAATACAGGGTGCGGCTAATTTTCCGCCACTTTTGTTTTAGCCTTATCTCGCTTCAAACTTAACAAAAATTAATAATTCTTTTTTTATTTAACCCCAAGACTGAGAAATTTTTTGACACTAAACAATGGAAATTTAGTTTGAGAAAAAATTTATTCAACTAAATTATAAAATTGTAAGGCGATTTTGGTATCAAAGATAACCTTTAGGATTTTATGAAAAAATTCAACCAAATCGGTCATCAAAAATCTTAGAGAAAACTCGATAAATTTGTTAAGTTTATAATTATGAATTAAGCCTAAATATATGTATTTTCTTTAAAAAAATAAAAATCAAAGTCCCACGCAATTAAAAATAAAAAGAAAATAAAAATATATTTAATTGTGTAGAAAAGAATAAAAAAAGAAAATGACTGCTTTAAGCTATTATTTATATTTTTTTGTAAGATGGAATAAAGGAAGAAGAAGCTAAAAACAAATCAAAATAAAAATTGTATGAAACACCATTTTGTACAAAAGATGAAGGAAAGAAAGAAATCTGAAGAAATTATTTTTTGTAAAAAAAGGAAAGAATTTTAAATTAAAAATAGTTTTTAAATAAAAAGGATTTTTAATCAGAATATTGTTAAGGAAATTGTATTGGCATCAAGACTGATTTTTGTATGAATTTAGGTAATTGAATCTAATTACGAGTGACCAGCGCCAGACCGGACTCCGGCCGGATTTTCCGGAGTCAGGTCCCAAATCCGGGTTTTTTGAGATTCCCGGACTGAAACCAGACCGGATTAATCCGGGAAAATTCGGCCGGATACGGTCCAACTTGAGTGTGAAATCCAAAATCCGGTTTCCGGGCCCGGAAAAATTATTTTGCGTGTCAATACCACATAATCGCCTATCTAAAATAAAGAATTAAAAAGTTTTTAAAAAATTTATAATAACGGCACTTTTTTATTAAACTATGCCAAATCAAATAAATTTATAAAGAAGTAAAATTATTTTTTAAATCATTATATTACAATATTTTTTAATTAATTTATAATAAATTCTTTATCTTCTAAAAAACAAAAATTATTAACCAAAAAAAATTTAATTTGTAAAAAATATCACAGAATTTTAATTAAATTATTTATTTTGTTTTAGTAATTTCTTTGTCTATTAAAGTAACTAGTATTTTGTTTTTGTTGTTGTTCAGTCAAAAACCCTCCATTAGGTCCTAATCCAAAACTTCCATAATCAAAACTAGCAAGGAATGAATAAGCATTAATTATTGGGGATGTTATATTTGGGTGCTGTTTTTGTTGTTGTTGGGTAGTTAAATTATTAGATCTTAAAATAATTTGTTATACTTACATACAATTCGAAGCTTTTTTAGATTAGAAAAATATAGGTAATTTAAAAAGAATGGAATTTTGGTATTTATGGTAAGGTTTGGATAAGTTAAGATTTTTTATAAATATTTTTTTTTGCTAGATTGATAATGTCGGGGTGTAATAGTAAAAAAGGAATTTCTGCCCAATTTCTTATTTTAATGTTTTAGTCTAGTTTCGATAATAATCATTTTATTAACTAACATAGAATTAGCATCCCTATCTAACAATCTTTCTTCTACAGTTTTTGTTGGCATTAGAGGTGGTGGGGGGAGTTGTTCTCTTGATACAAAGAAAAATCCTTTACAACAACATAATGAATGCCGAAATTGTTTACTTGTAAAACTACAAATAAATTAATTTTTAATTAATTATTTAATTACCTATAAATAAGTAATTTAGAAGAACCTCCACCAATTGCTAACCAAGTAAAGGCCTTAAAAATTTAATTTTTATTTCTTTAAATTTAGACAAAAAACTAAACAAATTTCATAACACCGGCATCATTATTGTCTAATAATTGAGAAGGTAAAAATTGAAAGATTATGAGAGGCAGCCATGATAATACAAATGATATTAAAATAAATAAAGCTTTAAATTAAAGAAAATATTATTTTGTGATTTATTAATTTTATTTAAATTTTCTAAAATCCCGGTTTTGCCAAAAATACTAACATAAATAATTCTTTTTTGCCAAATATAAGAAAGTTTAACACTCTTGATAATATTTCTCTCTGATAATTTTAGGGGAAAAGATTTAATTAATATTTTTGTTCATAGGGAGTAATTTTTAATTTTTTTCGAGTGGTATTTTTTTAATATTTTTTTAAAAACCCGCTCAGAAAAAAACCAACTTATTCCACACTTATTAGAATATTAATTTAAAAAAATAATTTACTTATAACAAAATTTTGATCAGTTTCTAAAATACTTCTTTGTATATCCTCTAATTCATCAGGTTTCTGCATTGCTGTAAAAATAGCACAACCAGTAAAGGCAACAGTACAAAGTGAAGGTAAACAAACAAGAATACCGAGAGTTAATGAATAAGCCTTTAAAAAAAACATTTTTAATCAAAAAATTATTTATTTTTTAAACTAAAGTAGATGAAGACCAATTGAGCAAGCACAACTCTAAATGAGATGAATAATTTGCCTCCATTTTTGTTATTAAAACAGGACATGCCAATAATAATGCTGTTATCCAAGAAAATAAAATCCAGCATTTACAACGAGTTAAAGTATGGACTGCCTCGTATCTTGAAGGCTAAAAAATAAATTAAAATTATTTAAAAATTATTTTTTGCCTTCATAAAAGCAGCATATCTGTCAACACTTATCCAAGAAAAAGTGAATAAAGTTGAGGTAATTAAACTTAAAATAAAATATTATTTTTTTAAAAATTAATATTTAACATACACTAAATGTAAATAAACAGTACATTTGCATATTACTATAAAATTTAAAAAAATAAAAAAGTATTAGATAATATCATTAATTACAAGAATTATCTCCAGCAAATGCCCAATTCGGCCTAACAGAACTATACAAACTAAAAGGAACAATCAAGAGAGAACATAATAAATCAGCTATTGAGAGGCTAATCTTTAAATTAATAAATTATTTAAATTAATGTTAAATAATTATTTTATTTATAATTTAAAAACAGTCGAAATTATTAAGGGGTTAAAGAATTTTTGAAAATTATACGAATAAGGATTTGTGTAAATTTATAGAAATATGAAATAAAATTAATTTTCAGGTCTGTATCTAGTTACATATTTTTACTTCATTTAACGAAAATAAAAAAAATCCCCAATAAAATAATTTTCCAATAATTTTCTTAGTTTTAAACAGAAAATCTTAAAATATATACTACACTCCAGACCTGCTCATGGATACGGATATGGATACAGATAATATCAAGATGCCTGCGGACATCCGCCTGTATCCGCCGTAAATATCCGGATACCAAAATCAGTATCCGTGAGCAGGTCTTCTGCTACACTTACCAAATAATGGCTAATAACATCATTAAATCGACACCATAAAATAATTATATTCTAAAAATATATGCATATAATTATTTAATTATTAATTAAACCGATAATGCCGTGCAAAGTAAAAGAATAAAAACAGCCAAAATAATTGCCCCTTTCAAAATATTAGCTAAAGATAAAGGATGTTCTGAAGTTGAATCTCCAAAAGTTAATTCAAAACTTCCAAAGCTTCCCACCATTACATCAACGTTGGAAATATCTTTTAAATTATTTAAATTTTTTAAAAATATTTCAAATACTTTTTTCTAAGGCGTTCTCGCGCCACAACAACAATTCTTCTTTTCTCTTTATCGTCTTTCAAAGCTTTCAGTTGTTCATTTTCGATTGTTTAGTTAACACAAAAGGCCGTTTTTGAATGAGCAAAATGGAAGAATGGGTTCTTGTCTGGCAATGAGCCGAATTTTTTAGTTGGCAGCAAAAAAGGAGAAAAAGGCGGGCAAGGCTTCTTTGAGGCGCACCAGAGAAGGTGCGCCTGTCCCTTCCACAAACAACAACAACCTTGCAAAATATGCAGGAACAAATAAAAGAAAATACTAACAAGACTCTCAAAATTACAATTATGTATTAGGTAATGGACTTGAAGTAAATGAAGTATTAAAATGGAAAATTTTTTAAAAAAAATTTTTATTTTTGTTTCCTTAAAAAAAGTTTTTTAAAGTCACATAAATGTTCAATGTTTATTTTCTCAACTTGCATATAAAATAAGGGAAAATGGTGCCTTGGGTTTTTTCTTCAAGTTATGTTGTTCTTTTTACTGGAGGAAGAAAAATGTACTAGAAAATAAATAAAAGTAAAATATGCCGTCATTTAAAATACTGAAAATAGAAGCCAGTCGAATTTTCTTTTTTTTTCTTCTCTCACGGCATTGGAGAGATACAGGCAAAAAACAAAAAATAATGCCAAAGAGGGATTGTTATTGGAAAGTGTGACTGGACTGGTAAATATAGCAACGTGTGCCTGAACGAGAGATGAGAAAATAGAAAAAAAGGCTTTAGAAAGAATATAAAGGCAACAAAAAATAAATGCCACAAAAACATTCAGTGACTGCTCCCTCATTTTTTCCCTCATTCATTCATTCTTCACTACTTCTTTCCTCCATTCTACTATGTATGTTCTCCTCCACCTCAACCCCACTTCCACATTTTTTTCTCCCACTTCATTTACGGAGTCCCCTTAAGCACCTCATTCTATTAGTGACAGTGGGGGCTTTAGGAAATGGACCAAAAGAGAAAAGAGGACATGAAGAATGCAAAAAAATATAATAATAAATATATACAAAATAGCTCAAGGCTAATCTTCATCCGTTATGTCTTTTCCACTCATTCATATGCTTCCTTTCATCTCTTGACTGTCATTGTAGAATAACCCCCCCCCTCCCCTTCCCCTTGTCCCCTTTCTCTCTTCATCCACTAAATGCTAATTTAGTTAGGCCCAACATTTTTTTCGGAATATTTTAAGGGATTTTTCATAATTTTTTTTAAAGAATATATAATTTATCGTTCATTTGCTTGTAGCATTGAAAAACAATTATTTAAAAAACAAAAATTAAGGGCACAACGTAAATATATATCTAAAAAATTTGAAATGTTTTTGGGAAATTTTCTCAAATTAATTTTTCTGTTGGAGACAACAAGAAGAACAATCACCAGATGTTGTGATTGTAGCAGAGGATCTGAAAAGGAATAAATTTATGAAAAGGTACAAGAACAAGTAAAGAGAAACGAGGACATGAAGAAGAAAAGGGTTCTCCGATAAGTTAAAAATTATCAAGAGAAAATTTGGCTAGGTTGAGAGGCTCATATTAGTGTTCGACACCGTGTCGACGCAGAAGACCCAAGGACAGAAGACCAAAGCCCCAAGAGTATTCTGTCTGTGGGTCTTCTGTCACTTCGCCATTCGACACGTAGGTAGTGCTGCCAGGAACGTTTCGGTACTCTAGGTACTAAAAAATCTCTTTACCTAACACTAGCTCATATAATCCTTCAAAAACATTCGCAAAAACTTACTCCAATTGTTTTGTTTGTAAAATATTTTCATCTTCACCATTATCAATATCCATCATTTCTTCTTTCTCTTCCCTTTTTTCATTTACTTCATTTAATTTATTATCAACTACCATAATTTCATTAATTAATTCTTTTTTGTATTTAATTTCATTTTCTCCATGATTTTCACAAAAGAAGTTTCGCCTTTCATAAAAAAGAACGTAAGGCTCTTGACTGGCTACTTCTTGAGGACTAACTCTTGTTACCTTGAAAATTAATTTTTCATTTATTTAAAAGAACTTTAAGCACAAAATATTTTAAAATAATGAAATTTAAGAAAGCTGTTGAGAAATAGCAATTATCCCTCCCAAAATTCGAAAAATTGTTTAAGCTTTTGATCAAAAAAGTAAAAACCTGAGCATCATCAAATTCGTACCAATCTCCATCAGAAGCATTTCGACAATATGCCACATAATGTCCATCTGAAAAGAAAAATTTTTTTCAATCTTGTTCACCTTAAATTGTATTAAAAACAAAATTTTTAATTGTTTTTGAAAGTAAGATTCGAACTATAACTATCTACGACTGTTAATTGATGTAATGTCCATCAGTGCTGGGTATTGGGCATTTATTGGCTCTGGCTTCGAGCTCTTAAAATCTCGGCTCCGGTTCCGGAGCTAGCTCCCGGAGCCATACCCAAAAATTATTGAAACGAAAAGCCAAAAGAATAAAAGTAAATTAAAAAAAACAAAAATTAATTTAAACAAACATTCAATATTCTGCCCTCTATGTGAAATTAATCCGCTCAAATCATAACAATTAGACAAATTATTTTCTTCTCCGTCTTTAGTCTCTTCAGAACGTACAAACTGGTCCATATCCAAATCATAAAGAGGAAAAGTAATTTTAGTTCTTAATTTTGTGTTGTAATTCCCTTCATGTCGAAAACGTTTTAGATGAATAATTAAAACATTTGGCAGTCGAGTAATTGATGAATGTTTAATTCCATCTTGCAATCTTTTTAGAAAAAATAATTTTTAAAAAAATAAAAAAAGAAAAAAAAACTTTTTGCATTTATCACAGCTATACATATCATCTCCTTTTAAATGATCAATTGAAAACAAAACTCTGAGACAATCTTTTAAAGGTATTGATGTTGAAATTAAATTCTTAACCATTTGTAGAGCTGCATTAAATGGATTTATATAACTGAGAAGGAAGAGAAACCACTGAAAAATTAAAGAAAAATTTTTAAAGGATTTTAATTTTTAGAGATCATTGTGTCGTGAACAACAACATAAAAATTAGTAAAAATACTACCCCATCTAAAAGAAGATACAAAGTTAAATTTGGTACAAGTTAAAGAGAAGACAAAAAATAAAAAAATTAATCGCAAGCGAAAATAATTAATTTAAAAATTAATCGCAAGCGAAAATAATAAAATTAATCGCAAGCGAAAATAATTAATTTCGCCCATCCCAGACCTACACTCATTATTTTTCCCTGTAAACAGTCCATTTCTAAATTTTTATTATTATTTTTTCAGGATTTAATTTATTCCTTTAAATGGATTTTGTCCAATCTATCGACTCTTCTTCCCGAGTAATCCCTTCATCTTCCGCATTTTACAATAATGTTACTTCCTCTTCCACAACCAAAACCCAAACAAATGAACAACAACGTTTGGGGGGTTCCCTTAGAAGACTCAAAACTGTTTTGGTTATTGACAAAAAAGTACAAAAATTTCTCAAAGTTCGAGAAATGGCTTGTCAGGATATCGTGTCCGGAAATTTGGGGAGTGGACACTTGGGGAGTGGGCATTTGGGGAGTGGATAAATAGGGAGTGAGCGGACAATTGGGGAGTGGACATTTGGGGAGTAGCCTAACGATAAAAATACAATAGAATATTAAATAGTTTTTATTGCTTTTGTATTTAAAAAAATAAATTAGGAATCTCTCGAATGGCTATTATATGTTTTTTCAAATTTTTGACTCTATGTAAAATCCCACCATTGCTATTTGACCATTTCGAGCCCTATATCTCGACTCAAACTTGTTTAATCAATCTAATTTTAGTGTCATTCGACTCAGATCGAAAGCTCTTTCGAATGAGCTATTACTTGCATATTCGAATTTTTTACCCAAAATCGAGCTTACCCCCTCCTCCCTATGGTTTTTCAATTTTTCAACCTATAACTCGGTTCAGAATATTTCCTGAAATAGGTAGTTGAATTTTTTTCCGAAATTGGAGTTTGCGTTTTTTTCGAAAATTGGAGTTCGACTCAGCTCGCCGAAACGAATCGAATGACATATTCCACGTCCCAAACTTTTATCTCCTGTGAACTTATACATAACCGTTTTTTAAATACAAAAGCAAGAAAAATATTTAATATTCATTGTATTTTTATCGTTATGCTACTCTCAAATGTCCACTCCCCAATTGTCCGCTCACTCCCCATTTATCTACTCCCCTAATGTCCACTCCCCAAGTGTCCACTCCCCAAATCTCCGGGAGCCCAGGATATTGAGGCAGTCTCTGCTGCTTTGAACGTTAATTTACAGGTTTTTAAAAAAAATTTTTAGGGTACTTTTCCGTTATGCCACACCTCCCTAAATTAATGTTCAAAATAGTGACGGGCGCGGGACGGGATCCCGCGCGGGATTCTGCGGGATCTCGTCCCGCAATCCCGCACTTTTTTCGCTTTGCGGGATTTTTCGGGATTTATCCCGTGGGATCCAGCAAACACGATTTTGCCGACTGCTAGTTCAAAATGTCATATATACGGTAGAAAAAGGTGTTGAGTCGAAAGGTGTATTATTGCATATTAAAATTTTTTTCCAAAATGACCCCATGTTTTTTTTGACCATTTCGAACTCTATATCTGGGTCCACAGACATCTCCGGGGAAAAAGAGTGGTACTGTTAGACTTTGCACTTTTTTTAGTCCTATAATTTTTACAATAATTTTGGCATAACGGCAGAGTATTAATTTTTGAAAATTATTTTTACAAAAAAATATTTTTTTCTAGTTAATCGATTTTGACCGATTAGATTTTGGAGAGTCTTCAACACTCGACAAGTTTTTTTTATTAAATTTAAAAAAATTTTTAATTTTTTAAATTTATAGTTTTTATAATGCAGACATTGCATTGATTGATTTTTCGATAACTCATCAACAGCCGGTAACTTGAAAATTTTTTTAAATAATTTTAACTTTAAAAATTAATTTTCTGGGTATTTAAGTGTAAGCTTAAAATTAGGATTAGAGTTCAAATTTGTTTTTTTGGATATTTTTAATATTTTTTACTAATTAATTAAGTTAATTAATTTTAACATAAGTTAATGTTGTTGGTGACTGGTTTTAAAACCGGAATTTTTAAAATTTTGGAATTTTTAAAATTTTGCCAAAAATTTTACTGTTCTTATTAAAGATTCCCCCAAAATAAAATTGTTATTTGCCTAAAACTCAAAACCGAATACCGGGTTTCTAAAATTTAGATTAACCGAAAACCGGGAGTACCGGTTAATAACCGGTCGCCAACAACCTCAGTTAATGCCTTTAATTTTATGTGGTGGGAAATTTTGATTTTTTAAAATTTATTTCATGACCTTGGACTTGAATTTGCCCTTTTTTCGATTTTCTGTAATAAATCTGATCCCTATTATAATTTCAAAAATTGATTTTTACAAATTTTTTAAACACGTAAAATTTTTTAATTTTTCAGAGCCTTTGCTACCACGTCGGGTATATTTTTAATTTATTCTTAAAAAATAATTTTTTTATTTTGTCAGTGTTCGAGAGTCAATGGGACAAACCTATAATATAATAATTATGTGTTGTTCACCACCTGATATTCCTGATGATCAAAAATGTGAAATGCAGATTGAAGCCTTAAAGGTTTTTTTTTATTTTTTATAATTTTTTTGAATTTTCCTTAAATTAATTTTTTGATTTTTTGTAATCATTTTTTCCCATAAACTGCTTGAAAATATAAAAAATTGTTTCTGGGCTGTTTCTGATTGTGAGTCCATCGAATTTTTATGAGTCCAACGAAGCTTTACGAAGCCCATAAAATTTTTATGGGTAAGCAGGGTCGTAATCGTGTGGAGGGGAAGGGGAAACCCCCTCCCCGAAACTGGGAAAAGAAAAAAATTTAGGGAGGGGATTGGGCAAAAACTGAATTTTTTGGCCTATGACCTTCCAAATTTCTCAAAAATTTCGCCTGCGGCGCTGAAAAAGGGAAGGAAGCTGGCTTACATTAGCCTTCAAAATTCAAAGAATTTCACTTGAGTGCCTCCCTCAAGAAAAGAATCCTGGCTACTGCCCTTTTTCCAATACATTCTTATAAACTTGTTTATTTTTGTTTTGGACTCGTAATTTTTTATTGAACTCATAAATTGTCCCAGAACTTATTTTTTAATTATTTGTATTAAATTTCCAAAACATTTTAGAGAACTTTAACACAATGTTCTTTAATTGTCTATTTTCTTGCCAAAGAGGACGGTGGCTCAACATTACCCCCAGTTTTACTTTCCGCTGATCGTTCTTCAAAATTGGGATGTTTTGAACGTCACGAATTAAAATATCAAAAAATGTTGAAAAAAGGACGGAGCGATTCTTTTGTATTTTTTTATTTTTTTTTTAATTTAAAAATTAATTTTTAGGGAACTTTTGCTGATCGAATAAAGCAAGTATTAAATAATGTGACAATTGAAGCTAATGCCCATGCTAGAGAAAAATTTCTCAGTGATTTACGCAAAGTTAGAGATATTGATTCGCATAGAGAACAATGCAAATTTCTTGAAAGAATGAGGACGAGGCTGGATAATCCTGGTAATTTTTATTGAAATTTTTAAGTGTGAGGTTGGTTTTATAATAATTGTAGGGAAGACTTTTAGTGACTAGATTTAAAATGTTAAGGTGAGGGTTTAAGATTTATTAAAGGCCTTCTCTTGGAAGGTCACTGGATCACTCGAGCATTAAATTTAACTCAAGCTTTCTTCATACTAAAATTAACCATATCCCTGTCTGACAAATGGAGCACTTTCTTACGAGTTTGAGGAGGAGGGAGGTTGAGGAGGCTTGGATTTTTTGGGGAGGATTTTTGAGGAGGCTTGGCACACATCCTATTATTTCACAATCAGCTCCCTTAAAATGCGTTTTTGGTTTTTTGTTTGTTGATGTGGGAAAAAAATTTTTTTCGTTTGCATTTTGATGTGTCAGTTTTGGGAGTCCACAAGATCTAATAATTAGTGTGACAATTCGGGATTTAAGAAACGTAGGGCGAAAAACGAATTCATTCGAACAATTCACTTTTGAACAATTACTAATTTTAAAATTTAAAATTATTTTATTTTAAAGATGTTCTTTCTGTTGATACTGTTCATCAATTCCTTCTTTGTTTGCGTGATACACAAGACTATGATGGAATTATAGGTATGATAGATGATTTGGAGCGTATTGACCAGAAACAAATAACACATGCACAGGTTTATTTTTTATAATATATTTTCTAAAAAATTTTCTTAAAGGCTGTCCGTTTTCTTTATGCATTTGCTTTAAATAGAAGAAATAAAAATGGGGATCGTGATAAGGCACTTACAACAGTTGAACAAATTATGGACTCTTCTGGTAATCAAATGGTCTCGCCTGGTATATTTTTTTAGATTTATTGTTAGAGATTAATAGTGGATCGAAAAAGTTTCTATTATTTGTTAAAATATTGAAAAAAAATTATGAAAATTTTTATGAAATTATGAAAATTATTTTATGAAATTTTTCTTATGAAAACATATTTCCAATAAACTTTGATTTTTAAAAAATTAACAAGCTTTTCGATTGACTTTGAATAGAGTTGTTCCCCGACGGGTGCGGGGAGGGGGGCAACAGGGAACAATTTCCGGCGAGACAGCGCCCTGGGGGGGGGGGCGGGGAATTTTCAAAAAATCTCTCAAATTCCCCGACTTTCGGGGACGGGAACGGGGAACAACCCTACCTTTGAAATGAAAAAAATTACCAAAAATTATTTTTATGCCTTTATATTTTTGATTTGCCCTTCTTTTTAAAATTTTTGTGTTTTTTTTTATAAACTATAAATTCAAAATTGTTTAAAATTGTTAAAAATTTAATTAATATTTATAGATGTAATTTGTCTGGCTGGCCGTGTCTACAAAGATAAATTTATTTCTAGTGGTTATGAAGATAAACAGGCGTTGGATAAAGCAATTGAATGGTTTTTTTTAAATATTTTTTAAGAATCAATTTTAATATTTTTCAAGGTATCGAAAGGCTTTCAATCTTTCTCCGCTGGAATATAGTGGAATTAGTAAGGATTAAAAAATTTATTTAAATTTAAAATTGTTTAATTATTGTTTCAAGCAAAACAAATCAAATTTAGGGGAGATGTCGGGGACTTTTTCAGATATCCGCCTTAATCCTTCTGATATCCTTTTAGGTCCCCTGATCCCCTCGAAGCAACTAACAATGGAGAAGCTGTGGGGTGTTCGTGGGACTTGGGATGAACGACGAAATATAAATTGTTTATGTGTGGAAAGGGAAACTTTGGGAAAGAGAAACCTTGGAGGCTTATAACTCGGTCCACGGTACCATTCAGCGAAAATGGTGAAAATTTCACAACTAAAGTAGGGCATGTATGATCTATCTACCAAATTTCATCCCGGAGTCCCATAAAATAAATTGTTTATGTGTGGAAAGGGAAACTTTGGAAAGAGAAACCTTTGTAAGCGTTTCGTTCTGATTTAAGCTCTCAAAAAAGTTCAATTCCTTTAATTTAATTCAAAAAGATTTAACAACAATGCTTCGAGCACGTGGTGAAACCTTTGAGAATTCTCCAGAGTTGCAACAAATCGGTCTAGTTTTGAATAGCCTACTTGGCCGTAAAGGAGCACTTGCTAATTTGACAGATTATTGGGATGTTGCTACATTTTTTGAAGTGTCAGGTAAATAAAAAAATCTTATCTTAAAGCTAATTAAAATTTATTTTTGAAATTTAGTATTAGCAGAGGATTACAATAAGGCCTGCCAGGCAGCTGAGAAAATGGCTATGTAAGGAAGACTTATTTTTATTTTTTGAGGAATTTTTTTGAAAAATTTTTGGGAAGAATATTTTTCTGAATTCTCATTTTTCGACTTATCCGTTACCGGAAGTTGTGGAATTTGAGACTATTTTTGAAATTCCTCCCCCTTTCAAGTTCCGTGGCGCTACCTTCCAGAAAGTTATTTCCCTTATTGTTAGACTTCTTTCTCCAGAGAGAAAGAGAAGGGAGTTCATGGCTCCTCCAGAAAATTATTCTCCCCAAGACTCCCTTCTCCCTAGACTCCCTTCTGTGGAATTTTAGACTATTTTTCAAATTTCTCCCCTTTTAACTTCCCGTGGCGCTACCTTCCATTAGATTATCCTCCCCTAGACTCCCAACTCCAAACGGGGAACAACCTAAATATTTTTTTTAATTTTTTATTTAAAAATTAGGTTGAAGCCCCCTGTTTGGTTTCTCAAATCTACAATGGAAAATATTAAATTAATTAATCGGTGTACTGCTACATTGCAACTTTCACCAGTTGAACGTGACAAAAAGACATTTCTTTTTTGGACAGAATTTTTTATGGAAGCAATAGATTCTCAAAAACCTCCAATAAATCAATCCAAAAAACGCGAAAATGTGGATACAGATGATAATGAGGAAGAGGATGATGATGAAGCAACGGAAGAAGAATTAGTGTCGACAAGTACTCGTTTCCCTGTTCTTATTCAGGAATTGAACAAAACGTTGACTCCAAGCTATTTGAATGTTAACCGAGATAATGTTTGTTGATTTTTATTTTATTAAAATATTGCCATGAAAGCATTAAATCTTGGAACTAGGGTTAAGTAACACATTTTCTAACGTTTTGGGGATTTCGGGCAGGCCCGACTTTTTTGGGGATCTCGGACAATATAGGCGATTGATTCAAGAGATTTCCTAAAAATCGGAAACGGGGAACAAGTGAAATCAGGGTTGAACGGGAAGTGATCTGTGCTTGGAAGATCACTCCAATACCAATTTTCTGCTCATTTTGAAAATCTCATTTGTCAGACAGTTTCCAACTTGCAAAATTTTTGTGGTTATCGAGTAAAGAAATTCTCCTAAAATCGTTTGACACTGACGGGGAGGGTTCATGACTGAAATATATTCGGAACGATATTTTTTTAGGCATATGATTGTATAAGTCGAATACCGGATTTATTCTAATAGAACCACAGTCTCTATTAGAACCACAGTCTCTAATATAACCACCCCAAACGGAGGGATTGAAAAATAGAACCACATGTGGTTCTATTAGAATAAATCCGGTAGTCTTGAGTAGGTAAAAACAAAAAAATCTTAATTTATAGATCATTCTCTACCACGTGCTAAAAGAAAGTCAGAAAAAGCGTGAGGATCTTAATTTGACTGATGGTGTTCATCGTTGGGAATTTAAAGCAAACAATATAAAAGCTGTTAGTGCATCAAAGCGTGACGATAGGTTTCTTTAAAAATTTTTTTTGAATATTTTTCTCCTTAGATCAATGTTTTTGTATGTTTATGAAAATTCTGATGATTTTAATTTAACTTTTCCTTCTGCAATTCACTGTCAAAGGTTTAGTTTTTAGTAAAGTTTCAATAAAAAAGAGTCATTTGTAGAATGATAACTCAAATTCTTGCAATGGATGGCGGGGCTGAACGTAATATTCTTGCAAGTGTTGAAACTGATTCACTTAAATTTGAATATGAAGTTGATAGCAATCGTGAAAGAATTGTTTTGGGAAGAGGAACTTATGGAATTGTAAGGATTTCTTATTATTTTGGGAGTACGTCAGTTTGCGCTCTACCATAAAAATTGAGATTTGGATATCCTAAAACTCTCGGCAAGCTTGCATTGATTCTTAAGCTCTGGTTTAGTTTATGAGTCCAATGAAAGCTTATGTCCTATTGAAAGGAACTCAAACAAAGGTTTATCCACTGGGCAGGAATCGAACCTGAGACCTATCAAGTGTTGTTCGTGTTGTGTCCGCACTTGCAGAAAGAACATAAATGAAAAATATTAACCCAACATCGGGTTGGATGGTGGCACAGTCGGTTGTGCTTCGGTCTGGGCCCTTTCCGTGATGGTTCTATTCCATCTCCCATCCACACATTTTTCCACAGCATGAACATCGGACATGACAGTTCGGTCACTTCGTTTCCCACGTTCAAGTGTTGTATTAGCAGTAGGGTTAGGGGCCCGATCCGCACCGTTCGAAAGATCGAGTCGGGCTTCAAACTTTGGCCCGGGAAAGACCTGGTCGGGCCGGCTCGATAAAAATGAGGCCAAAAAATGACTCGAACGTCGGCCCGACTCGAAAACTCCAACCCTAATTGGTAGAATTACTTCTTGATTTTATTTTATAAAGCTCTATTTCTCCCTCATAGACCCCCAACCCTACTGCTAATACAATACATGAACTCTACTTCGCCTAAAATCTAAATAATAATTTTAAAAATAATTTAAAGGTGTACGCAGCAAGAGATGTAACATCTCAGCGATCTATAGTTGTTAAAGAGATTGAAGTAAAAAATGAAGAGGAGGTGCAACCTCTTATGGAAGAAATACAGGTCGTTCGGAAATTTTTTGTTTTAAGCTTTAATATTTTTTAGTTGCATTCTACTTTGTCTCATGACAATATTGTCAAATATTTGGGGTCAAAATTGGATAAACGTGAATCTGGAAGTTTCTTTCTCATTTTTATGGAGCAGGTTCCTGGAGGTATTTTTAACTATATAAATGTTTTATAAGATGGTTGAAAAATTATTTTATGTTGAACAAATTGTTTTTACATAAGTATATGAGACAACTTAAATACGGGGGATTATTTAGGCGGTTCCTCCAATCACTGCCTACCAGATTTTTGAAACGTATATAATAATGTGTGTATTTTATACAGGCCCGTAACCAGGATTTTTTTAGGGGCAAGGGGCAAAAATTTTTCTGCGTCGAATTTTTAGCACCGAAGACGAAAGTTTTGAGAATTTTTATAAAGCCGAGGCCAAAAAATCCACTTTTTTGCCCAATCCTAAATTTTTTAGGGATTCCCCCCCTACCCCATGGTTACGGCCTGATTTTATAAGGATGTTTGACAATATTTCTATTTTTAAAAATTATTTTTAGGCAGTCTAAGTTCGCTAATTCGCTCAAAATGGGGACCTCTCGATAATCTTCAAACAATGGCTATTTATGCTCGTCAAATTCTTGAAGGATTGCAATATTTACATTCTCAAAAAATTGTTCATCGAGATATTAAAGGAGAAAATGTTTTGGTTAATACATATTCTGGATTGTGCAAAATTTCTGATTTTGGTACCTGCAAACGCCTTGCGGGCCTAAATCCTGTGACGGACACGTTCAAGGGAACGTTGCAATATATGGCTCCAGAAGTGATCACTGGTGGTCAAAGGGTAAAGGAATTTTTATTTTATTGTTAATTTTATTTAGTTGTTGAACACATTCAAATATGTACAAGTTTTTCTTGTCTAAAAAATGCAAAATGACAAAAAGCATAAAAGACTAAAAAAGGGAACCATGACATTTTTTGAAATTCAAAAAATTCAACGGGCTCGAAATGGTCAAAAGCTCATTTTTGGGGTGAAAAATTCGATTTTACATATGATACCTCATTTGAAAGAGCTCATCAAACTGATTTGAGTCGAGTGACACCGAAATCAGCTCGATTATATGATTTTTTTCATTTCGCATTATTTTAGACTTGAAAAACTTGTATTTGAATGTGTAAATAAGCGAAAGCCTAGCCATTTACTTTGTTATTAGGATGCCTGAATTTCATGGTTTTCATTCGCCTATTTTTCTAAAATATTTTTTAATTTTAACAATAAAATATTTGTTAAGGGTTACGGACCAGCTGCTGATATTTGGAGTTTTGGTATTTATAAATATTTTTTTTGAAACAATTTTGTTACTTACAGGTGCAACTTTAATTGAAATGGTTACTGGAAAGCCACCATTTATTGAAGTTTATTTTTTTGAAAATTATATTTATTCAAAATTAATTTATACTCTAGTTGGGCATTCCGGAAGCTGCTGTTTTCAAAGTTGGTATGCATGGAATGCATCCACCAATACCTGAACATTTGGGGGAATTGGCAACAAATTTCATCAAAAGGTAATAAACATTTTCTTGTCTACTTTTAATTTTGATTTTTTAGTTGTTTCAAACCAGACCCGTCTGAACGACCTACAGCAGCTGAATTATTAAATGATCCTTTTATTTTACAATATTTTGGAAATTCGTTTGTTTCTTGAAAATTATTTTTTAATTTATTGTAGAAATCGTGGAACTAGTAGCAAAAAAAGAATTGATGGAGCTCCCCCTGTTAAACATCCAAGTAGTAAGTTTATCTGTTAAAGATTTTTACTAGTCGGATTTAAATATTTTTTCGTAGTTCCTCAGGTGTGGGGAGTTTTAACGACTAATTTAAATAAAATGCCTAACTGATAATTAAAAGGAGCCTAATTTGATAATTTTAGAATTCTACCGATCCGCTTCACATATGGGTGGAATGACTGCATCTGGGGCAACTGTTTCTGCATCGATATCTGGTTATAAATCAAATATTTTTTCAAAACTTTTCTTCTCAATTAGAAACTGGAAGCAGCAAACCTTCCAATAAACACCAACAACAACAATCCTCATCTCCTAATCGTCTTCGAAATTTGTCACCTGTTACTACATCCAACAATATAAATACTTCTACAGCTGTTACTTCTCTTCATATTAGCCCAATGATTGCCACAAAAAGAGGAAGTTGTGGGACAACATTAGAAAATAATAGGAGTACTGGAAGTGGTGGAGGTGGGGGTATTATTGGCCGTCTTGGTCATGAAAGAAATTTAAAATTGCGTATTGAACCATGCCTTTCAACACCTTCATCGCTTGGACATTCTGGACCCTCATGTAAAGAAATGATTGATTTTGAGTCTAAAAAATAAAAAATTTCAGCAGCAAATCCAATATTAATTAGTGTCTTTGTAAAGTCTTGTGTCTTTGTAAAGTAAACCTCTATTTAATGCACCCCCTCTATAAGGGACAACTTTTCTATAAGACATCCCTATTTTTTACAGTCTCATATCTTGTATTTAAAAAGAGTTGCTTCGCTTTTATTTTTCTCTATGACATTTAAATAGGGTAGCACCCCGTCCCCGACAAATTTTTAGACAAAAGGTCCCAACTCGAACCCTGAAGACTATCCCGTCAACCCACGATCCCCGACACCCACCCCCGTGTGGGCAAAACCCCGACCCGACCTTCGAAACCCCGCCCTCGAAACCCCGACCCCAACGTTTTCGTCCCCGAAGATCGGGGCGCTACCTTACTTTTACACATATTGGATTTTGATATGCACCATAAAACATCTACATATATTGTTTTTTAAAAACAAACATATCCATTTTTGTTTATTTTAAAAGAGTTAAAAAGCAACTTCCCTCATTTTCCTCCTCTTTACTCGTGTGAATTAACACACTATTATTACATTGCTTTTTGGGTTAAAGTCTCACTTTCAAAGAAATATTCTCTTTTTTTAACCCAAAACTGCCAAAAAACTGCCAAAAAATCTCTTTTTGGTTGTTTTTATTCATTGCCTTTCCATTTTTTCTTAATGTCAAGCAACAACTTTCAAAAAAAATTTTTGGAAGGACAAAAGTTAAAAAAAATAGGGAGGGCAGAGTTTGAGTAATTATTCATTTTAAAAGGACAATTGAAAATACACTAGGGATTATTTTCTGTTTATTTCACTGAAAATTTTAATTTTTAATATTATACAGGCATTATTAATGCTTAGAGTTTTTTGACTTTTTTCATTGTTTTGAATAGGGTTGTTCCCCGACGCGGGGGAAGGCCACGGGGAACAATTTTCGGGGAGGGAGCCATGGGGGGACGGGGAAACCTTTTTTACGTGGGGAGACGGAGACGGGGAGTTTTCAAAAAAATCTCTCAAATTTCCCAACTTACGGGGACTGGGAACAACTTTAGTTTTGAAGATCATTAAATTTTGGGCTATTTGCGTAAATTATTCCTTTACAAAACGCTAGGAATTAGAATTAACTTTTCCTCAAAATTTTAGAAAAATTTTTGAATGTTAGAAAATCATTAGGAGAAGGGCAATGTCGCGCTAGATGAAATAATTAATCAGGAGTAATTATTCGAGATAAAAATTTTAACATATTTTTTCCTGTGTTTTCAGTTCTTGAGAAATTTGTTCATTATCTTTCGATTTTTATCCAAAAATATTTTTTAATTTATATTTAGTTAATTTATTTTTAAAGATATAATCTTGATCGTTTCTTATTAATTAATTTATTAATATTTTTGTTATAAAAATTTATTATTTTAAAAATACAATGACCATGGAGGATTTATCACCCACAAATTCACATCTTTCAAGAACTACCTTTAGAGATGCTGAAAATAGTTTCAGAAAAGCTTCAACATTCCATTCTAACCTACCTTCCCCTGAATGGTTTGAAACTTTGGAGAATGAATTTGACAAAGCTTTTGTTGATTTGGATGTTTTGATTGGGGAAGTTGAACAGGAAAATGTGAAAAGAATTTTTTGAAAATTTTTAAAATTTCAAAATAATTCTTTAGCAGTCCGAATTAATTTTTGAATGCCGTAGGCGTCTAACGCTAATTAGTGGGGTGTTTGCCAAATTTGCTCAAAAAGTTCAAGTAATTTGCAAACAAAATTATGACCTTAAGGTAATCAAGGGAATTTACTTGGAGGTAAACATTGTCTGGAAAAAGGCACTTTATATATATATTTTTTACAATGTTACCTCCAAGTAAATATATACAAAATAGCTCAAGGCTAATCTTCATCCGTTATGTCTTTTCCACTCATTCATATGCTTCTTTTTTTTTTAAAAATATATATATAAATATATAAATATATATTTTAAATATATACAAAAAAAAAATTTACTTGGAGGTAACATTGTCTGGAAAAAGGCAAAATTCAGTTTTTGCCCAATCCCCTCCCTAAATTTTTTTCTTTTCCCAGTTTCGAGGACTTGAAATTAAAAATAAATATTTCCGGAAAGTTTTAGAGAATACAATTGTGAAGGTTTTAAATAAAAATTCTGATCGTTCCGGAAAGTTTTCAGAAATTTATTCCGGAATTTATTTCTATAAAACTTTCCGGAATAAAAAAAAGTTGATGCTTCAACTAATCATTTATATTCTTTTTTGCACTTGCAGAAAGAATATAAATGAAATAACCCTTCGTCGGGTTGGATGGTGGCACAGTCGGTTGTGCTTTCGGTTTGGGCTCATTCCGTGATGGTTCAATTCCATCTCCCATCCACAATTTTTCCACAGCATGAACATCGGACATGACACTTATTATTTTGTGTCACTTATTTTTAAAAATTTCACGAAATTACGCATTCCGTTCTAAAATTTATTTATTAAATAACTATTATTTATGTAAAGAAATGGTTATGTAAATTTTCTTTGATTAAATTTATGTGGATGTTGGAAAATTATGCAAATTTCAAATGGTCTTATTATTTTGAGTCACTGTAATATTAAAAAATATCTAGAAAAATATCTTACCATTTAAGAAAACAGCAAAACATTTTTAGAAACTTAAAAATTTAGAAAAAATTTCAAAATCTAAGGAATTTCTACTTATTAAACAAATTAATAAAAATCCGTAATTTTTATACATGGGCACGAATCCGAGGCTGTTGTGTAATGAATAACACATCATTCTGGTTTACTGAAGATGCTGGTTTGCGCCCAGGTGCCGAATAACCTTTTGCACTAACTGTTGGATCCATATTTCGAAATATAATTATTTACATTTAAAATATTATTTTTAATGTTTATTGCCCCAAAATATGCTGAAATGTTTGTTATCTAATTTTTAAAATATTCAAAACATTTCCCAATATTTTACCTTGCCTTACTTCATTTAAAACATTCCCTCAAAATAAAACATTTATTTGATCTTCAACTTCCTCTCATTTATTTTAAATTAATTTTTTTCATATCATTATTTTACAACACACTAATTTAACCTTCTTCCGACAATTCCTTAACCATATAAATACTTATTTGTTTTTAAATTTCAAGCTCATCTAGATCAAACTCGCTACCCAAAATTAAACTCAACTTATTTAAATAAAACTTGTATAATTATTGTTTGAGTTAGATTTGTTGAATATAAGAAGAATATTTAAATTTATTTAATATAGAAAAAGCGGGACCCAATATTAGCTAAAGGAGAGGAATAGCTATAGCCCAGCTGCTCTATTATAGTCACTTGATTTACCTGTCAAGACATGCCTTGTCAATTTTAGCTCAATATTTGTTGATGAATTGAAAAACTATTTTTAATAGGGATAAAAAATAAAGGGCAATGAGCTTATATGCGAGCCATGAACTTATGAACTGTCCTATGAAATTGTCCCATAAAGTTAAGCGTCCTTTTAAAGTTAAATTCTCGTCAGCTTAAAATTTAATGATAAAATGAAAAAATATTTTTGCTAGGGGTAAAAAGAAAATTTATATAAATGAAAATATCGCCATTCAAGACTTGACTTTCGTTGCACTTATGTAAGTTACGCCCACATTTAATTGGCTTTAAAAATAGAAGCAACTTGCTATACAATTCATTTTATTTTCTTCAATAATTTAGCTGTTTAATTTCGGGGATGGGTTTAATTTTAAAACACATTAAAATTTAAATAAACAATAACTGTATTTTAGGTATTCCCTATCCCTTAATTTGGGTTTTGGTAATGTTCGATACTCAACCTGCTTTTTATTGAGAGCACTCAACCGGCAGTATCAACTCCCGGTACTGATTAGCCTAATCGCAGAAACGAAGATATTACAGACATCAAAATATCCTTAAAATCTTTGAAACTCTACAAAAACACCTTTACGAGCGTATAAATATTTTTATTAGTCCAAAAAATTATTTTAAATTATTTTTTAAATCCTCACTGCCCAAATGTCCGCTCACTCCCCAAATGTCCCCAAATCTCCGGGAGCTCTTCAGGGTGTAGCTCTTCAGGGGTAGACTTGTGATAACGATCAAAATTCTAGGATTGAGATTTTTGTTTGAAATATAGATTTCGGTTATCTTACGATAATTATCGATATTTGTCAAGATTTATCGAGATACTCTTAAATATCGAGATTATCTATTAACTCGAGAAATAACTAGAGAAACAAAAAGGTAATAGAAGTGAAAGTGATTTGGACACATTCTAAACCAGATGCAATATTAATTAATTTAATTTATTTAATTTAAGGATGAAAATTTACAATTTAATTCTTTTAAATTTTTATTTTCTTCAATTGTGTTCATTGTTATTTGGAATGGATCCAGGAGAAGGTTCAGGATCGCATCCAGGATGGATGTATCAAAATCTAGAATCGCAACTAGAGGGGATGCATCTAGAAGGAGGTTCAGGAGCACACTCAGGATCGATGAATCTAGGAGAAGGTTCTTTAGAATGGCAACTAGAAATGATGGAAAAAGAAGCTATGGATCAGCAGACATTAAAGGAACAAAATGTTTGTATTATTCTAAATTAAAAAGTAACAATAGTTTTAATAGGCTTTCAATCAAGCAAAAGAAATATTTATACCGAAGTTTGAAGAATTCGGCAACTTAAAGCGTTGTCCTGACATCGAAGCCCGTAAATTAGGTAATAACTACAATATTACCCCTATTAAATTATTGATTGATTAGAACAAGAGGGCTCTGAAGAGACCGATTATTGGGCGAGAGAAGTCAGAGAAAAAAATTTTTTCTCTGCCCAAAGAACTGGTCTCTTCAGGCCCTCTTGTTCTAATCAATCAATAATTTGCAAACCCAATCCTTTTGGGCGTTGCGGGGTTTGATTGGAGTAGGTCGTGGGAGAAGTAAAGTTGCATCGGAAAGTGATTCAGGGTGCTTCAAAGGGTATCAAACGAAGCCTTAAGCGGGGGCCGAGTCGAGTCGGGCCGGCGGGCAATCAATCGATAATTTATTTTGCTCTAATCGATCAATAATTTGTAAACCCAAGCCTATAGGAGGATGCGGGGTTTGAATTGAGTAGGACGGGGGATAAGTAAAGTGAGGGCGATTCTGATGTCGATTCTAAAGGTGATTCTGATGTCGATTCTGAAGGTGATTCTGAGAGCGATTCTGGGCACAAAACCGACCACACTCAAATTTCTACACTAAAACCTTGTTCTCAAACGGCCACACTAACAGGTTCGCCCTCTAATACTCGCTATGAATTGCCTGCTTTAAACTGGTCACGTTCGCACTCAAACGACTCGCACTAAATTGTTCGCACCCTAGCGAGTTACACGAACTAATCCCAATAATGGCCGCCACTTTATTGATTTTGCGGCATTATATTCTTTTTTCTCACTTTCTTTGCTAACAACTACATTATCAAACTCTAACCTTTTTATTAATTTTTTTCACTATTTTTGTCATAAAAATAGTATAAAAATTTTTTTACTTCTTTTAAATTTTAATTTTTTATATTAAATAATTTTTTTATTATAGGGTATACCTATAACCTAAATTTTTGGATTTGATGTTGACTTGAACATCATTAAATAATTCAAGGTTAATTTATTAATATTTTACAAATAATTATCTTTTTTAATTTTAGTAGCTGTGTGGAATGGTTAGAGAACAAGGATTTACTTGTGGGATAGAACGTCTTGTAATTAAATTATAAAAAAGTATTTTTTTAAATTGTTTTTAGATGAAATTGCCTCTGGGCTTTTAGGTTGTAATATGTGGGGAAAAATTACGGGGAAGATAATTGGTAATTATTAGAGAGCTACTATGTGTTTTTGTAAATAAAAACATTTAAAATAATTTATTCAGAACCTCGATCAGAATTTTGCCAAAAACGTCCATTTTGTTCTTCTCTCGATTATTTCCCTGTCTGTCCATCAACTCGTGTTAATTCAAGTGAAGAAAATTTAAAAATATTTTGGAGAAAATTAAATCCCCAAATTTGTATTGATAATGGAATTTTAAATACTTTACCTAATAAAAAAGAAAAATGTTTGCCTTGTGGGCCTGAAATGGAAAGAAATAATTCTGGTTATTGTGAAAATTGTCCTAAAGGATCTATTTCTTCTGGAGAAGGTAAATGTGTTCCTTGTCCTTCTGGATTAATTCCAAATTATGGAATATTTTTAACAAATTGGGATTCCCTTCCTTCAGAAATTGAATGTAAAAAAAGAATGTGATTTTCTTTCAGCAGGTATTTAAAAAAAGATTTTTGAAAATTAAAAATTTTCTTTTAAAAGAACTTCCAAATGAATGTCCAGTTAATCCTTCTTGGATATCTTATGGAAATAGATTGGAAAGTGCTACGACTAGAATGAAGGGTGTTGCTTTGGAAATTAATAGTAAATTTAAATAAATTTAAAATTAAAATATTTCCTTTTTAGTTAAATTTAAAGATGGATTTTCTTCCCCTTTACATACAGGAAAAATAACTAATGAAAATCCTTTGGGTAAAATATCAATAGAAGTTTCTCTTCAATGTAAAGGAAAATGTCAATTTTATATTGTTCAGGTGTTAATTATTTTAAATTAAAATTGTCTATAGGGTTCTCACTTTCCAAAAATTAAATATTATTTTTTAAATTTTCTAAGAAAATAGAAAAAGAAAATTCCCAACAATTTATTTTTCCTGAAAAAGAAGAAAATCTTCAATTATTAAAAATGTTAACTGGAAGTTTTACAAATAATTTACTTGTATTACCAATTTTAAATTCTTTTCCAATTCATTTATTAATTGCTTTTACGAGAACTAATGCAATTTGGAAGTGCTGCTTTTGAAGAGAATGTTCTTTGCAGGTTTATTTATTTTTGACTCTTAGGAAATCTTTTTAAATTTACAGTTGGACCTCGTTTTATGTCTACAAATCAATCTAAAATAATTGAGAGAGGTTCTGAAACAACGTTTAAATGTGAGGTAAATAAAAAGTCAAAACATCTAATATGATTATCCTTTATACCTCTTTTCCTAATAGTATTTCTGTTAAATTAAGTCCCTATAATGCATATTATATTAGGGTAAACCTCACGTGCATTCGGGGGGTTAGAGTGTTGGGCTTCGGCGTTTACCGTGGTAGAGCCTTCTGGGTTCGGGTCAAAGTTGTTTAAAATTATAATATATATATTTTTCTAGGTTCTCGGCAATCAACCGCCTATTATTCGTTGGTATCATGGAAAGGAACAAGAGAAACCAATTCAAAAAGGAGCAAAGTGTGTAAAACTAAAAAATTTAATAACTGAAATTTCTTGCTTTAGTTTAACTATCAAAAATGCGCAAGATTTGGAGGAAGGAGAATTAAGGTAGCTTTTTGGAGTTTACAATCCAAATAAAATATTTTTAATTTTAGTGTATTGCCGAGGAAGATTTTCCTTCAAAAACGTTGCAGCATCAATTATATTTAAATGGAACTCCAAAAGTCAGATTTACAGAATATATACTTTTTGAAAATGAAAAGGCTATTACTTTAATCTGTGAGGTAAACAATGAATTTTTTAAAGTTTGTATTTTTGACTGGGATAATTATTTAATTCAACAGTTTTTTTAAATGTTTTTTAAGAAACTATAAGAGGAAATATGTAGAATTTTTTTGAGAATCCCATGTCTACTCTGATTTTATTTAAATTTTATTTTTTTCTCAGCGTGGAGGAAACTTATTACTGCTTAATCTGGAACTAAAGAAGGGATTGTTGATGAAAATGCTTCTGCTCCTTTAATTTCGGTAAAATTAAAAATAAATTAAATTTATGAATTTTAATAAAAAATTCAGAATGTAATTTTAAAAATTTTTTTAAAGAATTTTTAGATGGTAATGTTCAGTTTCTCTTTTGAAAGATCATTAAATTGATAGTAAAGCTAAATATGTCCCCGACAAATTTTAGTTATATAAATTCCTAAACCTTTTGTCTTAAAAATACATCAGAATAAAAGGCTTAGGAATTTATATAAATAAAATTTGTCTGGGACATATTTAGCTTTACTATCAATTTAATGATCTTTCAAAAGAGAAACTGAACATTACCATTTAAAACTAAGCTCATAAATTACATAGTCATTGCCTTTTTTACTTATTATAAAAATTATTCTAAACTTTAAATTTTTATATAAATTAACGTGCTTTTAGTTATAAATTTTAAACTACTTTAATATTTTTATAAATTTTGTAATTTAGTAAATCAAATAAAAATTTTTCTAAACTTTTAAATTTTTATATAAGTTAATTTTCTTTTAAATTATAAATTTTAAAGTAATTTAATAATTTATTTAAATTTAGTAAATCTTAAAAAAATGTCTACAACTAATAATGATAAAAAGAGAAAAACTACAACTTCATCCTCCGCTCCGAAAAGACAAAATTTAATGCAACAGTCACCAATCCCATACACACCTTATAGAGAACCAAGACCAGCTAATCAACAACTTATTTCTCAAAATACATTGCCAATGCCACAACCAATTACACCAAATTCAACCCAAGTAATTAATGCAGGAAATATACAGACTACTCCAAATATACAACAACAATAACAAGACCAACCAAGTGTCACAGAAGAACAGGCTTTGCTTAAAGAAGTAAGTCATTACAAGAAAAAATTTCTGATGCATTATTTTTAAAAATTATAATCGGATCAACCGTTTATAAAAATAATAATAATTAGGAAAATATTATTTAAAAATTTTTTTAATGTTAGATAGCTGAGAAAAGAAAGGCAAGAGCTACAAAGACCAAACCAGAGAATATTCATCTGATCAAACCGTTTGATGAAATATCCAAATGTACAAATGCGGATCTATTATTTTTGAATTGGTCAAAGGACCATATTTTTGAGTAATAATTTTTATAAGAAAAAAATATTCTATTTTAATTTTAAGAGAACTGGTTGGTATTGTGTGTTATGTTAAAAGAGGCTTAACGAGCAAGAATAAGTGGGACCGTACCGACATTTTAATCCAGGTTGGAAAACCCGATGAGCGTGAGAAAGTGGCTGTTTTTGGATGGGGAGCACAAGCAGCGGTACTCGAAGGAGCTGAATTAAATAAAGTAATTTAAAAAAATTTTTTAATATTTTAAAAAATTTCTAAAATAATCATAATAAATAATTTTTATTTTAGTTCATTCGATTGACCAACATGATAGTTGTTCCTGAAGACATCGGAAAAAGAGACACATGGAATGGATCGATAGAATTTAAATTAAAATTTACAAGAAGCTCAACTTTAACAATTGTCGAACAAGGGCAAAGTGCGGTGTCTCAGCAGAATACAAATATGATAGGTAGTTTAAAATTTTAAGTTTTTTGGGAAAAAAATATGAGTGAAATTTTATAGTAATCGAGAATTTTATTTAAGTAATCGAAAATTTTATTTAAATTTTAATTTCAAAAAAATTGTATTTAAATTTTTATTTAAAAAAATATTATTTAGAGGAAGGTCCTTCAACATCTGCAACAATTCAAAATCCGCATGTTGGTAATGTTCAGAACTATTCTTATGCCAGCAATGCAACTTCTGCTGTAGAAAGAGATGTTGAATATGTGAGTATTTATAAATCATAAGGTTTAATGTTTTACATGTACCGTTTGATTAAAACTTTATTTAAAAAATACTACATTAAAAGTGAATTGTTATTAATTTAAAATTTAATAAAAACTTTTATTACATTTTCAAGGATTTTGAAGATTTATGATTTGCTTATTTACTAAAAAGAAGAAAAGAACAAGTTAAAATTGAATTTATTTAGAAATTAAAATAAAATTGAGTGAAACTTATTAAAAATTTTTCATTAATCTTTAACTTTCGATTAATTTGCTTTTATGTTTGCAAAAATAAAAATTTTACGCATGTTTATTATTTGAACTGAAATAGAAATTTGAAAAAAAAAATTTTTAAAAATTTAAAAAATTGTCTTGAGAAAATTTTTTTTGAAATTGTCTATTAAGTAAAATGAAATAGAGATTTGAAAAAAGTTAAAAAATTTTGAAAATTGTTTGAAAAAATTTTTTTTAATTTTTGAAAAAATTTGAATTTGTTTATTAATTAAAATGATATAGAGATGTGAAAAAATCTTAAAAAATTTGAAACTTGCTTGAAAAAATTTTTTTGAATTTGGTTATTAACTAAATGAAATAGAGAGTGGAAAAAAATTAAAAAAAAATTTTTTAAAAATTTTGTTAATGATTTGAAAAAATTTTTAAAAAAATAATTTTTAAAAATGATTTGAAAAAAAATTTTTAATTGTTCATTATTTAAAATGAAATTGAAAAAAAAGGATTTGAAAAAAAATCTAAAAAAATGATATTGTTTATTATTAAAAATGAATCAAAATTTGAAAAAAAAGCTTTAAAATATTTAAAAATTTTTATAGTATTTTGATAAAATAAAACTTAATTTTGAATTAAATATATCATTATAAAAATATCTATTTTCATTCTTGTCTAAAATAAAAATTTTATATTTTATGAAATGGAATTTGATTATTCTTGTTAGTTTTTTAAAAAATAAAATTTTAATGCTGAACGTGTATTATCTAAAATAAAATAGAAATTTGAAGAAGGAAAAAAAATCTAAAAAAATTTTGAACATTGATTAGAAAAATTTTTTAAAAATTTTGAAAAAAAAATAATTTGAAATGTTATCATTAAAGATGGAAAAGAAATTTAAAAAAAAAAGCTTAAAAATTTTTTTATTAGTTCTATCAGTATTTCGATAAAATAAAACTGAATTTTGAATTAAATAATCATAATAAAAAATATTGGATTGCATTCTTATCCAGAATAAAATATTTTTATTTTATGAAATTGAATTTAAAATGCATGATTCAAATATTCTTTTTTTTTGGTTTTTGATAAATAAATCTGACTGTGGGACTGGGCCGTTTTGGCGCGGGGCCGTTTTGGCGCGAGCTTATAAGATACCGAGTTGTTTATCAAAAATGATAAAATTTCGCAATAATAACTCTCGTGCCTTTATCTAAGTTCTCCAAATATTTCAGAATTTTTGATCGAGAATTTCAGAAATTGTGGCCAAAAATGTTGATTTTCTGCAAAATGCCTAATTTTTCGAGGTCTATCGACTATAACTTCGGAAATATTGGATGAAAAATTCTGAAATTTCTGGATGAAGTAGTCAAGGATGTTAAAGAAATTTGAGAAAAATTTTATAAATTTAGGTCTTGCCTAAGTGCCACTTTTTTGTTATCGCGCCAAAACGGCCCGGCGCCAAAACGACCCCAACATCTGACTGTATAAATATTATTAATTTAAATAAATTTTTGAATAATTGGCATGAAATTGAATTTAAAAAATTGAATTTGCATTTATATGAACAAATATTCTAGTATCTTGTTTAAATTTTGTTTTTGTTTAAAATTGAATAAGCTTACTGATAACGAATTATTACAAATACAATAATATTATTGTTTTCGCAATAATTTTTTTAATGAAATTTTTTTAAATGATATATCAATAAATTAGAATAAAAATTCGAATTTAATCAAAAGAAATCAAACGGTACATGATATTTCAAAATTTAGGGGGATTTAAATTAATTATTAGTATTTACTCTTTTAATTACTCTGATAGGGATACGTGAAAAACGTTAGATATTTTTACCTACTCTCTAAAATAAATACTCACTGGCTTTTTTTTTTTTAAAAAAAAAAAAGCTAGGGGGGCCTTTTTTTTGTAGGAAGTAGTGTCACCTTCTCCTGAATTGTCACAACAGTCGCTCCATGCCGAATCAAATCCACAAGTAAATTTTATTCTTTTTTTACTATTTTTAACAAAAAATATAATAGCGATTATATGGTAATCCTGGACATACTCCCCCAGCTCCAGGATTTGTAAGTTATGTAGTACCATCAGAAGATCCTGATGCAATTTATTTTCGCGGAGAACGCCACATTCATGATATTGATTTACCAAAAAAAGGACTCGATGGAAGAGTGCGAAATATACTATTATCCTCTCGTGTGCAATTGGCAGAAACATATAAATCTAAAGAAGAGGATCCTCTTTGCGGAGTATGTGTACGTGACTTTATGCCGAAACAAAGCGTAATTTTTTTACCATGTTCCCATAAATTGCACAAAACGTGTTTTTGGGATTTATCCCGTTTTTATAGACATTGTCCTACTTGTAAATACGATATGGGTCGGGGCCTGCAAATTCCAGAGTAGGGTATAACTGATTTCTAGTCAATTAAATTATAAAATGGGAGTAGAACATTAAAAATTAGAAAGTTCTCATTTTGCAACTTAATTGACTAAAAATCTTTTGTGCTCTACTCTGGAATTTGGAGGCTATACACGTCGGATTACTTGTTTTTGAAAATTTAATATTTTGGACACGTACTAGACAAGTATCCCGACGTGTAACAGTTTCCCCGCACGTCAAAGAATCAAGTTTTTTTTCTGAGTGGATTCTTTGACGTGCGGGGAAATTTTTTTGTATTTTTTATATAATTAATAATAATAACCACACCACAATTAAAAAAATATATAATGAGTATTTTTTATATAATTAATAATAATAGCAACACCACAATTTGTAAAAAAAATTAATGAGTATTTTTTTATAAAAAAAAAATGACCAAATTTTTAAAACTTTATATAAATTGAGTTGAATATAACATTAATCAAAAAATAGAATTAGGTCATTTTTTAATTTAAAATTTAATTTTTAATTACCACTTAAAATTTGGTATTGATATTATGTGTACATAAATCTAAATCTATCATTTTAATTTTAAAATCTATTTTATTAAGCAATTTTTTTCCTGCCTTTTTTAAATTATTTTTTAAAATAATCTTTATTAAAATTATTTATTAATGGCAATATATTTGTTTGACAATGAAAGTATTTTGTTTGTCAAGTGCTATATATTTTGAGTCTGGCACTGAGCTTAATTTTTGTTTGTTTCACTTATATGCTTGATTGCTTCTGCTTCTTTATAATTTTGTAAACTAATCTTTATTATTCTGAAGCATTTTTGCTTCTAATTTCTGAAATAATTTTTATTATTCTGAAGAAATCAGAAATTACACCGAGACTCAAAATAAATAGTACTTGAAAAAATAATTTCCGTGCCAAACAAATTTATTTTCTTTATTAATTATGCCTTTATTAAGCTTATATTCTATTTTGCCTTTGTAAATTTTTTTGAATATATTTAACATCAACATATCTCTAATTATTTTTTTTAGGTATTTTTTTTATTTATTTATTTATTTATCAGCAAACCACAGGTATTTTAAAATACATTAATGTGGTGCAAAAAAAAAACATAAAAAATAAATTAATGTCAAAAAAAAAAATATATATATGTAGGAAACAACATCAAAAATAAAAATAACTTTAAAAATGAACAATAAAAATAAATGAATTTAATATTACACATAAAAAAAAAACACAATAACGCTCAAGGTTAATTTTTCCAAAAATTTTATTTAGATTGTGATAATTTAATAAAACTTCTAAATTTTTTGGGATCATTTATTTTAAATGATTCATTTGGAAGATTATTCCATTTATTTACCACCCTATGAAAAAAATTATTTTTTGTTCTGTTCGTGTGTTTTTTAATCCTTAGAAGTAGAGGCCTGCGAAGTGATCTATTTGAAAAATTAAAATAATTTTGGGAATTAAGAGATGTAAACCCTTTTATAATTTTAAAAGCAGTGGAAAGATCGGCAATCTTTCTTCTATCTATTAACTTTTCAAGTTTGCAAGTATTTAATCTTTCTTCATATGGGACCTTGATTAATCCACATTTTTTGTAATGAATTAGAGATATGTTTTATAATATTTTCAATAATTATATAATTTTCAATTTATTATGAATAAATTTTTTTTATTATTCCTTCATTAATTTTTTTTAAGTTGAGTTTATTAGGTTTGTAGGTTTATTCTGTATGGTTGTTGTTTTCGTCTGCATCTTTTAAATTCCAATCTTGTTTTAGTGTATATATGGTGTAATATCTATACTAACATGTATAGAATATTATTGACTGTTTTAGTGAATGATATTAATTTTTGGTTCCTACCTAAGATCTCGTTTATAATTTCCCTGCTAATAGCTGTACGCGGCTTACTAAAATTAAATTTGTTCATTATAGTAAACTATATTTATTTAAATTTAGATTGAAAACATGAGAAACTACTTTGTTATTGAAAGAATTGAGCCAATTGCCTCACGATCACGCAACACGCGCGGGGAGATTGCCCATATTAGATTTAACAACTTAGCCGATCACCCGCGACCAGATTTGGCTCTCACAAGCCTAATTGAACAACTTTTGGATCGGGTGCTCACCGGAAGACCAGCACCACTTCGTGTTGGTCTTCAGGTGCAGCCACCGAATTTCCATCACCCGTTTACGGTACCTCTTCGCCCACCTGCCCAAAATAATCCTGCCGCATTGGCCGCAGCAATTGAACGACTGAACGAAATCTCTGCCGCTGGCATAGATTTGTTAAGTGGGACAACAACAACAAAATTCATCGCTGTTTGGCCTTTGACTGGACAACGTACAAACAATCCAGCAACTCAATCTGGTAGGTTCATACTAGTCTTACATTTCTTGTATAAATGTAAGGCAGTCATGTTCCTACAGGTAGTTGTGATTTGGAACAAGAACATGTTGTTACCTCCCGCTGTCGATCAATTGTGCGAGTCTACAATCCAAACGACCGCTACTGTCTTGCACGTGCAGTAGTGATTGGACTTACAAAAATTCGACTTGTTGATCAAGGCGATGCTAATAATGGACCAGCTCATTTTAGAGCTTTTTGTCAACAACAAGAACAACATATGATTTTTGTAAATTACTTAATGAATATATCTGGACTTCCTTATGGATTACAGGTATTATTTAATTACATTTTTTTCAGTGTTACTTTATATAGGAATATTCGCTTGAACATGTAGCGATTCTCCAACGATGGTTGAATCAATATTATGGAGAAGGGCACACCCGTATTGTAGTTTTCCATAAAGAGCAACAATACCGGATTGTGTTTAAAGGAGAGGGAAGAGCAGCTCGTTACAATTTATGTCTGCTCTTGGAGAATCGCCATTACAACTACATTGGTCGCCCTGAACAACTTTTGGGAGTCAAACGTTATTGTATTGACTGTGAACGTTCGGTGACACGTTGGAGTCATTGGGCTGGATGCAATGTAGTTTGTAGATTTTGCATGAGGTCAGGTCCCGAATTCCCATGCCAAGTAATATCTAAATTAATTTAAAATTTTCATTGTTATTTTATAGGAAGATGAAAGAATCCCGTGTCAAAACTGCGGATTCATTTTTCCACGCCGATCATGTTATGACTACCATTTAGTCAATTCTGCTCCACTAGAAATGATTCGACGCGATACACGTAATTTTGCATCCATTTGCCAAATGCGTCGTATTTGCTCCAATTGCCATCTCATAATCTATGCTCAGCAAACACACGAATGTCATCAACAACGACAACCTCAGGAAAATTGTACAAAATGTAATGGTCCTCATTCTGAGGACCAGCCATGCTATATTCAACCATTGTCTGTTGAAGCAGAGGAAGAAGAAATTATTGAACCTGTATTAAATGAAAATCAACAACAACAACAACAAGCAAAGAGACAACGAAAACAACCATTACGTCTATGTTTTTTCGATGCTGAGACCAGCCAGGATGAGCCAGTCCAGATTAGTAATAATATTAATGGATATAGACATGTTCCACTTTTAATTATTGCCGAGGTAAATTTTTTTAGTCAATGTATTATATTTAGTAAATTTACATTTAGGTTATCTGCGAAAAATGTATCCTGGCAGGAATTAGTATTGAAAATATTGGACAACGTGCTCCAGGATGCTTCTGTGGAAAACCAAGAGGCCAACGTTGGTTAAATTGGTGTTCCCCACCATTCAGAAATGCTCCAGGCGACACCACCGCCCGTCCTGACAACATAATTTTTAATCCTAGGCGAATGTTTTTTCATTCGTTTGACAACGCAGAAGAGAACCCTGTTGACCAATTTCTCGACTATCTACTTAATCATGGTTCACAGAATATGCTGACAATCTGCATTGCTCACAATGGGGGAAAGTATGACTTTCATCTGTTGTTAGAGGCTCTTCATCGGCGTAATCAACCGCCAACGAGGTTATGTACAACGGGGTTAAAGATCTACTCAATGACTCTTGGCGGAAATCATCAGAGAAAAGTTCAATTCAAGGATTCGCTAAATTATTTCTTTTGTGAACTTGATGCTCTTACCAAGGTTTTTTTTTTATTTATTCGTAAATGTTTTATTTTTTTTCATTTAAAGATTTTTGCTCTACCAGAGGATGTGGCAACAACAAAGCCATTTTTTCCTTATCTCTTTATACAACGTCAACATTTACATGAAAGAATAATTGGGCTCCCTCCTCTTGAATATTACCAGGCTGAATATAAAAAGGCTGACAAGCGTGATAAACTCCTCGATTGGTACAATCAAACAATAGCTGATACCACAACCAACTTTCAGCTTCGTGAACAGTTAATTCTTTATTGTACAAATGATGTAGCGATTCTTCGTGAAAGTGTACTCCGATTCCGCCATCTTATAGGACAACACACGAAGAATCTTGACCCGTTTTTGTCAGTCTCAACAACAGCAGGTCTGGCCTTAACAACATTACGCCGCTGCTTTTTGCCTAAGAATTGGATTGTTCACTCGCCCGAAGGAGGTTATTTGAGAGGACGACGAGCTTCAGCCGAATCGCAGCGATACATCCGCTTTTTTGAACTACAACACCCGGAATCTGCAGGTCAAATTCAGCACGCACAATGGGCACTTGGAGAAGCTCATGTTGAAGACTGCGGGTATAGACTTGATGGCTTATGGCAAAGATCGCCTCCCCTTCGCCCTTTGGCTATTGAATATATGGGATGTTACTATCACGGTATAAAGTTTTTATTAAACTTTTTAATTTTATAAAATTTTAAGGTTGTCCCAAATGCTTCCCTGTACGCGACCAACGCTTAGCAGCTGGTCGTACAGCTGAAGAGCTTTTTGAAAGAACTCAGCAACGCCTATGGGAATTGGAGCATCAACATGGATACCAACTTCATGTTGTCTGGGGGCATGAGATTAAAGAAAAGCTGAGTAACAACACACAGTTACGAAGGAAATGGTTCGAAATTGACTGTGTTCGGCCTATGGATCCCAGAGAGGACTGCCTTAGAGGAGGAAGGACAGAACCCTTCAAACTTCATCACATGTGTGCTGAAGATGAAGAGATCCTCTACATCGATATTGTATACTTGAATCTAAACTTTAAAGAAACTATAAAAAAATTTTTAAGGTAAGTCTCTACCCTTATGTTATGAAGGCAAGATCTTTTCCTATTGGACATCCAAATGTCTTGACACGTGATACATTGCTTCTTCCTCCAAACAACCCTTTGCCATGGACATCTCCAGAGCATAACATCTATAAGGGGTTGCTTCTTGTTCGTGTTCAACCTCCGAACTTTATGAATGGAAATCTCCCACCAGTACTTCCATACAGAACTCATGATGGTCGACTCACGTTCCCCCTTTGTGCAAAATGTGCTGATAATAGACAACAACGACCCTGCACTCATGGAGAACGTGAACGTTCCTGGCTGACTGGTTATACCCATGTGGAGCTCAATTATGCTTTGGAACGTGGGTATAAAGTCGTGGACATTTATGAGGTAACAATATAATAATCATAACTATAACTTAATTTGATATTTAGGTTTGGAATTATGAAAAATGGGATCCGAATTTATTTCGATCCTATGTCAACACATTCATAGGCTTAAAACAACAAGCTAGTGGTTGGCCAGATGGTTGTGCCTCGGAGTTGGACCGAGCTGACTACCTAGCTGAATTCGAGCGAGTTGAAGGGATCTTCCTCGACCCGGAGAAGATTGAAACAAATCCTGGTTTGCGAATGATTGCGGTGATTTAACTTAGAAAAAAAAAATAAAAATAAATTAAATTTTTAGAAATTATTAGCAAACTCGCTCTGGGGAAAATTGGCGCAACGTGTTTGTGGAACTGAGGTGCGATATGCCAAAACACCAGCAGAGTTCCATCAATTGTTAGAAGATCCAACAATTGAAATGCTCGACTTTGATCACGTCAGTGAGCATTTGGACCGTTGTGTTGTAAGGAAGAAGCCGGAATTTTCAAAAGCACCAAATACCAACTGCCTCCCAGTAGCAGCATTCGTCACTTCATATGCTCGTCTCCATCTATATGAGTATATTGAACAAGTACATCAAATTGGCGGCGTTCTCCTGTACTGCGATACTGACTCCATCATCTATGTCGGCAAGCGTAATGGCCAGCGTGTACTCGAAGGCGAATATCTTGGTCAAATGAAGCGTGAAGTTCCAACACGCCGAATTCTGGAATTTATTGCTGGGGGTCCGAAAAATTATGGCTACCGACATGTCGACACAAGTACAGGCTTGGATGAGAGAGCAGAGCTTAAGATCCGCTCATTCCCGCTCTCTTATGCTACTCATCAACTCCTTAATTTCAACACTATGAAACAACTTGTGTTGAACCAATTCAATGTTGATGGGGCAGTGTGAGTTTATCAACCAATTTATAAAAAATAATAAAAATATATATTCAGTGATGACACGATTGCCGATGATGTCTTTTACGTTGGTAATTCAATTGGTGTACAATTCCCTCAAATTGGAAGAACTCGTCGGTCTCAGCTTTACACTCATCTGGCCAGGAAGGAATACAGGCCTTGTTATGAGAAAGGCCGAATTATGCCTGGAATGGAAACTCTTCCTTTTGGGCACAGGAGGAATAATTCGGTAATTTAAATTGTTTAAACTTTTTGATTGATTTTTTATTTACAGACATCTCACGGGCAAATACATCAGCAACGACTAACTAGATCACCAATCCCACCACAACAAAAAAGACCTCGCTTAAATATGAATGAATTAAATTTGCAAGATTTACCTGGATCTTCATCGTGGACAGAAGCTGATTATAGAAATAGATACAATTCTTAATATTTTTATTAAAATTTATTCTGTATATATTTTTTTTAAATAAAAAAATTATGTTCGTGGAAATTGTTTAATTTTAGGTAAAATATCATTGTTAAAAACATGTTTCATTTCATGAATAGACTTTATTCCTGTTAGTATCACACGTCCTGAGATGTAACATAGGCACGATACTTCTCCATCTCGTTCTTCCATACCTATTTTGAAACGTAGCGCAGGAAAAATTGTTGGGTCGTAATTGGCTTTCATATTTTGATGTCGAAGTTGTTTAAATAATTTTTCAATTGCTAGTTTATGTTCGTGTCTGTAGGCCCCAACAATATTCGTGACAAAAAGATTATAAATTCCAATTTTCTGAAAATTTCCTGCCGCATTATTGGAAGCTCTAATACTTTTCACAACTCTCCATGCCGTTTCATTTGCTAATTCTGGAGTAGGCACGCCTGTTAAGACGACTTTTCCTGATTGAAATATTAGTGCCGCCGTTGTTTTATTGCCTTTGTGTCTTAGTCGCATAATTATCGAATGGAATCTTTTTGGATTATATTCAGTGTTAATTCCAAATCTTGCAAGCTTTAAATAATTTTCTGAAGAAAATTTAACGTTGTTCTTAAAGAGTTTAAATACAACTGTACAATTATAGATTTGCATAATATTTACTTGCTAAAAATAAAGACAATTTAATTTGAATTAAAAAAAATTAAAAAAAAAACAATTTATATTTAGTTCTCAATTTAAAAAATTTTTTATTTATCTAATAACATCCTCCTTTCATCTTGTTTCGGCTTACACAAAGGACTTCAAGAGGGTAAAATGATCGATGATGTCCTCCACCAAACTCGATAATACAAGGTAGATACGGATGACAAAGTTTGAAATTATGCTTTACATAATAATATCCGCGGACCTAAAATAAAGAAATGATATTAGTTTTATGAATATAAGCTTACAGTTATGCCCAAATAACCACTCATTGCTGGAACAATACTTGCTGATTGCACTGTAAGATCATGACAATGTACAATAAAATTGCGACAAGTTGGTTTTAGATGAGATGTCCGTAACTGCACACTTTGTCGTAAATGTTCAATAATTTCACGTCGAGCATCAAGATTATGGAATAATACATGTAGTTCCTTGAACGAACAATTTCGAAGTTGGCAAAGATACTCAATTAATGGAACAGGCAAATTTGTCTTCGAACGTAATGATGTAGATATAGTTGGCCTTTTAGGTTGAAAATCTTCATTTTGTTTTGTTGCCGTTGGTGGCGTAGGCTCACGAAAAGGATTTTCTGGTTCAACAGTCCAATCCAAAGGTTTATCGTCTTGAGTAATTCGTAGGATTTTTTCGCTTGTATCTATATTAATTTCATCTTCAATTTGTTCCTCATCCATTTTATCTTCTGCTATGTCATCCATAATTGTAAGTAATCCAAAAGCCGGGGTAATAACATCAACACCTTTCTAAAATTTAAATTTTAAAAATCCAAGTATTTAATTTATCTTACCTTTACTTTCTCTTCAACTTCATCTCCAGAGTCTTCAACCACTACTAATGCTGGCTGGTCCGTTTGGGATTCGCTTGATGTATTTTGTTGTTGTTGTTGTTCTGGTTCAGGGTCGTCTTCGAGAACTCCCCAAACCATAAGAGTGAGAAGAAATTCCATTACATTCATTTTGTTAATTTTGAAATTCTAAAATCTATATATACTTATTTATAAAAATTAAATTCAATTTTAAAATGTCAGGATTTGAAAAATTTGATTTAATACATTCAAGATTCAAACACCCTTTTACAATGATTGTATCGGGAAGTACAGGATCTGGTAAATCAGAATGGGTTAAAAAGTTTCTGGAAAACTTGTCAGAAATGATTCCAGATGAAAATGAAGGAAAACATCAAATTGATTTAGTTCTATATTGTTATGGAGAGTTAAATAAAAATATTATAAGAATGCAAAGAATGGGGTTTGTTGATAAGGGTAAGACAACTGTTATAGTTCATAATGGTCTGCCAGTAGAGGGTGAGGAATTTATACGTACAAGGGCCATTCAATCAAATGGAAAAATGTTGCTTGTACTTGATGACTTAATGGTTGGGATGAATCAAAATCTATTAGATACAATATTTACGAAAGGCTCTCATAACTGGAAAATGAGTGTTATATTAATAACACAGCATTTGTTTAGCAAAGAATTGAAAATAGCTCGTAATAATTCACACTATTTGCTGTTAATGCGAAATCCTGCGGGAGCCTTGCAGATAAGAACACTTGCTTCCCATTTGTTTCCTTCACGTTCAAAATATTTCTTAGAGGCGTATTCGGATGCTACAAAAGACAATTTTGGATATCTTTTAGTAGATATACATCCTAGCACACCTGAATTGTTAAGACTTAGAACACATATATATCGTGATGATGAGAGTAAAACTATAGTTTATATTCCAAAATGAGGAAAAAAATTTATACAAGCGATCTAATACAGCAA